CAAATATTCCACTTGGTCTTCCATGATGGTAATCAACGGAGTTACCACAACAATCGTAAATGGCATTCTATCCTGCCTTCATTCCAACGCACGCTTTATTCGAGGAAAAAACTGGAAAATAAGAATTTTTCCAAAGCCAGTCGGTGAGAAATTGCTAAGACATCTATCCTACCGACTACGTGTTTTAAACAGTTTCTTTGCTCTTCGCTTTTAGCCTACACGTTTGGAAAGTCACTCAGCGCTGTGTTTGTTGCGAGTTTGAATTCTGCGTGACGGCACGTAGAGTCTGTCATAACGGCCATATCGCATTTCTCGCTGTGATCGAAGACGCTCCAGTGTTGACACATTCTGTCAAAATCAACCAATCAGAGGGTATACCAGGATCTGGTATACCGGAAGGCACTTTTGTTAAGAATTCTTACAAGCGTTCCCTCACCTCTCTCCCCAGTTCCCCTCTACTTTTTATCGCTTTCTTTACTTCGCACCGCTCTCCACTATCTGAACGCTTGGAACAGGCTACTAAGCGAGATTTGGTGATATTTTTCAAGAGTCACTAAAACAAAAAATTCAGAGTCTAGAGCAATATGCTTCCAACAGCAGAAATAAGTTGATCTGAAAACCTGTTCTGCAAAAAGGCAAGTCTTCCCGTTGCGTTTTAGTTATTCGCAGGCTAAGTAAACATGACCACGTAATTTATGGTGCCGCAAAAATCCAAACTTCAAGAAAGACAAATTAACCTACCTGTCAACAAACTTTAATTTCGCGTCTTCACCCTCGGCAAGAAGGCTGAAACTTCGTCATATGAAAGAATGCTAATCAGTAAATCACGATATCTTTCATTATTCAACGTATTTTTTTTCTTGACGAAATATTTTATCATTTTCCGAAAAGACGCGGACCAAGGGCATCGGGGACTTGCGCGGACCAAGGACCACATACTGTATTCTCTTGTTATTTTCAATTTTCGTTCAGGAAAACGCCGCTACGATCGCAAGCAGTCAGGTTATGGAGGCCAAACAAAACCTATTTTCCACAAAAAGGTAAACATAACTGAAGTGATCACATTGTTTACAATAGTTTGCATTAACTTAACTCTTATCTGATCTTATTGGAATTGGAAGTCAGTCACCAGAGGGGAATAATTTTTGTCGATAGTTAAGGACGCGTTCGACTGTAGTTTCACTGTAAATTTGTGTCATTGTCGATTTTGAATTTTTTTTTTTGACACTGGTTGTGTTGAAAAAAAGAACGGTGAATTAACAGATCATGCAAGTGACCTTTTGAAGCAGTTTCTTTTGATGGTGCAATCATTGCAAGGTCAATCATACTTGCATGAACTGGAATAATTATCCTGACACATATATGTACAACAGTTCCTATTAGGGACTTTAAGATCAGACAACACAATCAGCAATGAGAACATAGGCAAAACAACTACTTTGCACTTGCAGCACACCTTTTTGTACATTTCGTGGAAGTTTTTGGCTGACTACGACATGATTTTGCTGACTTTTATGACTATTACGGAGGACGTAAGCATGCAAAAACAAAATTTTATTCTCTTTCTGAACTTGGATATGGTTCTTAGGCCTGGTTCAGACGCCGTACTTTTCATGTGCCAAACCTAACTAAATAAGTTCGACTTTGGAGCAACACTGACGCGACATCTGATTCAGACGGCGTACCGTGTGTCGAACCTAAGTTAAGTTTGACAAAAGTTTGACAGACTCTGTCAAAATTAACGCTTTTGCCGCACCAAACTAAAACTGCCGTACCAAATTGATTCAGACGCCGCTCTTTTGCCATACTTAATTCATCAGTTAGGTTCGGCGCGAGTGGAGCGGCGTCTGAACCGGGCCTTAGGAATTCAACTCCAGGAGGGTTTGCCTACACTTGACAAAGTATATTTAACTGGGAAGGAATATTCGAGATGAAGACTAAAAGAATGCAAATTCACTTGATGTTTTCCCTGTAGACAATGATCATAAGGGCCTTGTTGTCTGTGTTGAGATATGTGTGCATGAGGCTGTGTAGTGCAATATTCCCCTTGTATGGCAAGACCAGTTGAACACAAAAATGCAGTTTAACACGAGTCTTTTACAAATTTAGGCCAAAACTACCAAGAAAATTGTGCTGCGCATGGAATGTACAGAGTGCAAATACAGGAAACAGATAGCCCTGAAAAGATGCAAGCATTTTGAACTGGGTGGAGACAAAAAGAGAAAGGTAAGAACAATATGCTACAATATCTTTAAAATCAAATTAATTTTGAATTTCTTGGGTAGTCAAGTATGTGTATCATATGTGCACTAGATTCAAATCCCTGCGATACGAGATAACGTGTGAGCCTCTCCTCTTCAGAGAAGAGTACTGGTAACAAAAATGAAAAACCTTCTGATGCTAGGGAACAACTCATAAATACCTTACCTGCTTCTACAACTGTATTTAAGGTATTAGATCTGTTATTGACCCTTCCATTTGAAAAATTTATTTTTAAATAATAAAGAATTTTGCAAAGAATAATTACACAGGTCTATCAAGCGAGAGCTGAGCTTTCAAAAAATTGATATCCGAGGTGTCAATTTTCATACCTAAGGTGTGATTTCCGATTTATGTTGCAGGCGCAAAACTTCAATAATTACATATTTCTGGCTTTACCTTGACAGCTGGGAATAAAAAAATAATTGGAACTGACTCATAATTAGATTGTTCATTTACCTTTAAATTCCTGGCAGTTGCCAGAAATTTTTTCCTGAGATACAGAGGTGGAATTTTTTGTAATGCCCTGTGACTTAAGGTTGTTGCCAAAAATTCCAAAATGTTCCTTTTTTGCAGGGAATTTAGTGCATTTCCCCTTAACATTATGTGAATAAACCTGGCAAGTTTCAGCAGAGTAGTAATTTTAAATCCTCATCTTTTCACATTAACCCTTTAAGCCCCAACATCCACAAACAAATTCTCCAAAGTGATTTCTATACATTTCCTTACAGAATTAGTTGGGAGAAATTGATAAAGGATCAGGGATTTTTCTCTTTGTGATCATTTGATTAATTCTTATAGATGTTGCACTTGACAATGTATGTATATTGTTAGGAGAAAATTGATGTTGGTCACCACTGGGACTTAAAGGGTTAAATTGTTTTCAGTGCGGTCCAGCGAAAATGCAAAATTGCCCTTAATTCGCTGTGCTTGTTGTCACCATCGAGTCTCCATCTTGAGTTCTTACGAGTAATTGGCTGCTACAAGTTAGACTTCTAAATTTAATAAGTATAAATGAAACATTTTTTAATAACCTTTTTTCTTTTCCTTTTGCAGGGACAAATGATCCAGTTCTAACTGTGATAAAATTTCTTGTAAACCTGTCAAGTCTGTGTTCTTTGTTTGGTTCATTGTGAAATAACAATAATAGCAGGGTTTGTTTCAAATTGAAATGTCACTTTTATTCCGGGCACTAGAAAGAGAAGGGTTCAGGGCGGGGGTACTATGACAAGGAATGAATATTGTCATTGCTTCACCTCTTTCATCTGGGTACTGAACCTATTACAGCCAAGAAATAAAGTGAAATATTTCTCCCACTAGTTATAGAAAAACGTTTATTTTATTTGGATACCTTTTAACAGCTTAACTAACATGTTCATTTTAACATCTAGTTCTGAGTGCTTTGAGCAACAGCCTATATTTCTTGTTCTATTCTATTTTGTCATGTACATGAAGGTGAATGTGAGTCAGTATTGTATCTTCTGGTTAAAGAAGTCTTGACTTCCGCGAGCTGCATGACATACATGGGTTGGTTTTCCTGAGAACAAACCATCAAATTTTACAGTTACACACAGTCACAGTACCCTACCTTTTGGGTGAGAATGGGGGAAGATATTCAGCAAAAAATGCTATTAAACATAAACAACAAGATTGAATTGACATTAAGATTTATATTTGTATCACAACTAGTCGAAGATCAACCCTTGCCTGTTTTGGGCATTCAGACAGTTGAGAGTGGGTAAACAATAAAGTGCCAGAGTGAAGAAAGGTTCTCCGCAGTCTTTCCTGCATGTTTGACTGTTTAGTTTGGCTTCCACTATTTTTAACACACACCCTGAATGCCTAGATAAACATCACTGACAAAAACAACTAGAAATTAAGCAAATGTTTCTGGCTGGTTGCTACTCACCTATGTTACAGTTAGGGTAAATTTTATATAAAGCATTTTTATTTTCTGCTTGTGTTGAGAATTCTGAAGTGCAACATTTTTATTGCTAAAATTTAGATCTACCTCTCATTCACTTCCACGGGGAGAACTCTGTTGGTTTAAGAACCTTGGAATATGCTCTGGTTTCCAAAGGAAGGCATTCTCGAACTAAAAAATATAAAATACAGAATCAGCTGGAAGTCCTTGTAACTGCCAGGAATTTTAAAAATTTAAGTTCTGGAAGTGAAGGCAATGTCTCTATTTTAAAAAATAACTACAGTGTACTGGGGATGTTTTTCGTTGTTGCAAAAACAATATGATCATGTTGGGTATTGTTCATAGTTAAACTAGTTTTGATTTCAAATACCAACAACGTACTGTGTGTGGTGCATCATTTTACCTGGGTAGTAGACCCACACACGTATCCATGAAAATTGCTACCCACTAGGAAGGTGATATGAGCAGGATTGATTAAAATGTATGCATGCTCTGCATACAATTCTAACTCTCATACTCCTAGTTGATGCTAAAACTCTCCGAATCACTTTATTATGAGTCCTACTCCACTGCCTGACAAACAGTAATGCATCTTGTTAGACATTACCTGCTTCAGTCCATCCCTTAATCTGCTTTGCCTCATTACGAATTCTCACACGGTCATCAAGACTTTTATAAGACCACAACATGATGGCTGGAAAATAGAGGAGAAACTAATAAACCAATTATTTTAAATATTCGTGATATTTCATATTATATTAATTTTAATAATTTCACCTGTGTTTTGAGGACCAAATTCTGTGTACCACACTCCAACAGGTTCACAGAGCTTGCAGCGGTGAGGAAGTCCTTCAATAATTTTTTGCTCCCACTCCTCCTTTTTACCCAGCACCAACTCGTACATGCGTAGCTCATACACACCTCAACAGAGAAACAGAAAAATACAATCCAGTTGTTGTCGTTATTTTTTTCACCAATGGCTATCAACAATTTTATAGACAAAAACGCTAATGATCCACTTAAAAGAACATGTGAGAGTATTCACCATTTTCAGAATTGCCCACAACCCACCTTGTTTACCCTATGCCACTCTCCTCTTGGGGGAAGAGCGTGGGCTCATCCTTCCGAACAGCGAGAAAAATTCCAGCAAAAAGTCATTTTTGTAAAAGGTTTGTGGTTTCTCTTAAGCCACATGCAAACAGATGCAACATTGTTGGATGTTACATGTTGCATCCGTTAATTGCATGCACACTCTGTTGGAAGTTGTTGTACAAAGTTTGAAATCGGTCAAAATTTTAGCTACATGAAAACCAATGCAACAACTCCCAACATTGTTGGGCCAACAGCTTTATAGCTTGACAATAAAACTTAGAAACTGCAAACTTCTGTCCATTGTGAGCCCCAGTCCCTGCCCTCAAAATTAGAATCCACCACTTACCTCCTGTGGTTAGTGGAGGCTTCACTTCATACCATGGTGGTGCAGTCAGTATCCAACTATCCTGTCACCAAAAAAATCTTGAATTTTACCAGGCAAAAAAATATTACTTTTTGTCTGTTACTTACAGATCTGTTACAATGTTCAATAAAGCATACATGTGTCCCCTAAACCCTAGCTCTTGTATACACACAGAAAAAACTGAAATGTATACTCATAACTTATCCTTGTGCCAAATTAATAATTATTACTTTTAGACATTCTTAGTCTCAGAGAAGAAGTTCTGACCCCATTTCTGGTAAGCCCAGTATTTGCGAAATCCAATTTGTTGTGAAGTGGCTCTCACTTAGTCATCTTTTTTATTCAGTTCCATACAATATCATAAAATAGCAGTAAAATAAATTACTGGTATCTGAACTGTTGTAATAGGTTATTGTATACTTACTATTTGTACAGCATAAGCGGAGAAAATATTAAAAGGTGGTCTTTCAATAAGAAAAAAAATTGACAGTTGGTATCAATTTTTTTTTTTTTTTGGGGGGGGGGAGTTCTGTTTACTCAGAGCATTAACAAGTGCAAAGTTTAAGGTTTCAAATTAACCCCCAATGAATCAAGCCCCTCATTTGTGGTTTTAAGGCAGAGCTATTCTCAGGCAGACCATTAATCATATTTATACAACAATTACCTGCTTCACCAACATTTTCAGAATTTTCTTTACATAATTATTCATCCAATTTTCATCTTGGGAAAGAGCTTTTCTTGCTTCTTCTCTTTGTGCATAGCTGTCTACAATTAAAAAATCTGGATTAAAAAACACAAGACTCTAGGGAACAATAATACATCACAAAAATGACAGGGTTAATTCTGTCAGCTTTTTGGACTGGGTGTTAAGTTGTTTGTCACCAGCTGACAGTGACAGCAACAACAGAGAAAGATTTGCTTGGTATACCAACATTATAATAATGTTCTTGAGTTGCACCCGGCCCTGGATTAGCACTACTTGTCCTTTGAACACCTCGCTCGCCCCTTCTCTCTGCTACAGAGGCCTCTATGTGTTGAGTCCCACCTTTTCCCTCTTCTCATCTTCCCCCCCCCGCCCCCAAACTTTCTATTTTTTCGATTACTGCTATTTTTACGGGGATGCCCAGCGGGAGCCTCTGCGGAGGAGAGAGGCTCGCCCCCGAATTAGAATAACATTTATATTATTCAGTAATATATTTTAATATAAGTAAAGTATAATGAAGAAATCAAATAATTACCATATTCCCAAATGTGTGTGACTTCATTCAGACCTCCAATCTCACTTGTCCAATAACCTTTCAGTTTTGAATTCGAGTCAGACTTGAGGTGAATATAGTCACGTGTTAATTTCATAAAGTCACCTGTTGAGAAATAGATTTGGAAACAATAGATAGTGGAAAGTAAAATATATTAATAATATTACAATTTTTTTATTTGCCTCATTTTTAGTATAAATTTATACAAAAACCACAACTAGTTTCTACATTAACTGACAATAAATTGGGAGCAGGAGCGAAGCACACCAGAGGCATAAATTAATGGGGGAACTCTCCAATGAAAAGATGTGTGAAAAATAATTTAAGACAGATCAGGACTTTTCCTCTTGCTTAGAGGTGTATACTGCAGATTAGTGAAAATCCAATATTTTTATGGAACTGATACAGGTATTTGTTTTGGAGCTGTGCATAAAAGATAATTATATAACTTATATCTATAAAAAAATTACTAAGCACTGTCACACCAAACTGAAGATAGCTGTCATTGTCAATGTTTTTGGGGCAATTTAAACCATAGGATAGTTCCCATTTGGTTTTCTGTGCTAATACAGTCTCCTGTATGGGTCAAATAAAGCCTCTCGAGCCATGCAAGATTACACTGAACAAGTTTTCATGTCATGTCTTAGGATCAAAGCTAGTTGTAGGTGTCAGCAAAACCTAAATTGTACCGAATCAGACCTCACTTAGGGCCTGTTTATATGGAAGTGGGGGACCCCAGGTAGGTGGGGTAACCCGTCTGTTCATACAATCTCTCACATTAATTATGATAGGTGGGGTGATCATAATTATGAGACATTATATGAATAGGCATATTACCCCACCTAAACGGGTTACCTCACATACCTGGGGTCCCCACCTCCGTGTAAACAGGCCCTTAGTGACAAAAGTTTGGGGGAAGGGTTGCTGGGGTGGATCCGACAGTGCCAGTTATCAACACCCCTTTCCACCTCCTGACACCCAGCCCCGAAAAACTGAGTGAACTGTGACGAGTCCTCAAGAATAGCGGGGAAACTTTCACATCGTTTTTTCTTGGCCTTTTTCTTCATTTTTAGTTGAATTGTATTAACCAAAAGTTCTGATCAACGGCATGGATTTGCGATTTTCAGCATCTTCAGGGAGAGGCATGGACCATTAAACAACCAAACAGAAAACAAGGTGAGCAAAGGACAAAGGCGACTGAAGTTTACCCAACCTGATCAGTCCTCCTTCTACAGGGATTTAAGCACACTTATGCCCCACACTGATGGTCTTTCCTTAGGAGTATTTGCAACTTTCCATTAAAAAATGTCCGAGAAATATCCGGCAGGAGCTGAGTTAGGGGTCAGTGGAAATGGTCGCACCCGGTCGCACTGCCTTCTAGATGAACAACAAAGCATTCTTCCCTTACCAAAGTACTTGGGCTTTACAGAGTACGTACGCAGCTCGTAAATCGTCATATCGTGATCATGAGATGATTGAGAAGTCTAACTTGACAGGGCGGACGTTAAGCTAAAAAAAAAAAGCCTAATGTCAGGTTAATTAGGCGGACGTTTGCGAGGAGGGCGAGACAACCTGAAACCACAGGCAGCCGAAGCTCACCACAAGCCATCTTCGGAGACAGTCGGGTGGGTCGAGGGTGGGTCGGGTAAAAACCGGCGGCGAAAGTTTTCCACAACGGGCGAGACCAGGGGGCCCCCCTGGGCGAGACCGACATAGCTCGAAATATCAGGTGAGTCGTGCACTTTTAGATGCAAACACGAAATTTGGCACACTGATTGTAGTCACCAATACAAGCATTTTGACTTGACTGGTGCCAAGCCGGAATTAAGTAGGTTAGTTAAAAAATGGGTCAATTCGTTTAAGGATTACCTATTTAAAGGATTGATAAGGTAAATACATAAAACGAAAGTGACTAAGTTGGGATCGCGAAAATTACATTTGCCCAAAAATGACTAAGATGGGGTCTATAATTGGCGAGACAACAGCAAGAATAGGGTAAAGCCCCTGGAATAGGGTAAGGGCTCCGAGAGACCAGGGCACATACCCAGCAAAACTTAACCCAAGTACCCTCCGCCCTCCCGGGGTTTCTGCAGAAAAATTATTAAAATGAAGTTCATCGAAGAGAAACGCAAAGGGAATTTTACATCGTAATCCTAACTGTGATATCCCGATGTAAATTCCATAAAACCGTATTTTTCAATGCTTTCTTCCACCTTCCACCTGCATGACCTGCATGCCGTTTTGAACCTCGTCCCAGTCCTCACTCAAAAATCACAAGGAATGCAGGTGGTGCGCACTTTCTGTAGCCTGAATTTCATCGGATCACTTAGAGTCGTTATAACTCCCTCAGTAATTGAGAGGAGAAAACGACTCGAAGCAATCACATGAATTTCAGGCTACACTTTCTGCAGCTCTCCCGCAAAAACAAGTACGGTGACCTTCATCTTTTATTTCATGATTTTAATGACAACAATACTTCCTTTCAATAAGAAAAAATATTGGCAAAATCCATGTTCAGTATTTTTGCCAGAAGGAACTTGTATCACATACTGTTAGGGCATAGATCAGGGAGGCATTTCGATTTAGATGGACCAAGGGCCTTTGCAAAGAGTGTGGGTATGATTTTTCTGTCTCACAGGAATCTGAACATTCCTTAAGTCTGAATAACCCTGTTCTAGGGTCCAAGATAGTGGCGAAAACGGAGCGAGAAAAAAGCAACAAAGTTCGAATCATGACTGACTAGTGACAATTTTCTACCGTGCATCAGCTACAGGACGTATCATTTTCATGTCCGCCTCTTCTCTGCGCGAACAGACTGACATACTTGAGTATGTCCGTTTTCCGAGTGCTGTGGATTTCTACAGTCTTTTTATCTTTCGATCCCGTTTCATCCTGTTGAACGCATCGCGACACGATCTATGCCACATACCAAACGACTTGCTGATGTGGAAGCCATTCCATTTCCCACGTCAAAACATTTCCAGTCAACCGCTTTTTCTAATTCCCCGCCTCATAAAATGACGTTAAGTCTCGTTCGAAAGTGAGGTATCCACACTGAGGTTTTTCAGTTGTTTCCTTTTGGTAAATAACACTTTTAACCAGTCTAGAGGTAGCGACCTGTTTCCTGCGTCTTCAGATTAACCTATTTCTCACTTCCTCTTCTTAAAACGACATTTTTCTCTTTTACGTGACGAGAATAGTTTCTTTTCTAGCTGCATCGAGTCGCATGCACATTTCACGAATGAGATAGCGCAAACTCTTACAATTCAGGAGAAAAAAGAGAAAGTATATGCAGATAAATTCCAAATTACGGCCTGCATTCATATAATGATCAGGAAGAGAAGAGAAAACAATCCGCATCCAGATTTAAAAAAAAAAACATCTGTATTGTTGTACCTGTGTTGGAAATAAAACGTGAATAAAATCTAGAAAAAAGGAAGAAAAAGTACTTCATGGGGGGTCTTCGGGTCTGAAAATTTCATTTGCTGCTAACTAGCTGGAATTAGAAAATTTAACCCGGCACCCACAGGAAATGACTAGCCTGGGAAAGTAAATATTCCTACAAAGTTTGGTGCAATCGAAGGCCAGCGCTGCTCTCGTGTTCTTCTTTCCTGCAACTCCGACTGTTCGCCGTACCTGTCTGGCTCGTACTAGCCTGTACACAGACGTTGTTTTATTTTTCTTTTCGTTCTTTTCGAAAACATTGACGAGCGAGAACGAGCACGAAGCGCGAGAAGATTTTCTTCTCGCACGTCCCCCTCACCCCCCCCCCCCCCCCCCCCCCCCCCCCCCCCCTCCCCCCCCCCGCCACAACACCTCCCCCCCCCCGCTTTTTTTTTTTTCTCCCCGGCCGCACGGCCCTTCCAACCGAGAAGTTGGGTGTGTGAGAAGCGCAGGGCCGGGTGGGGGGGCGTTGTTTGGGCGGGGTGTTGTTGCTAATCTGGGGCGCACAAACGCGCTTTTTGGTACCCCCCCCCCCCCCCCCCCCCCCCCCCCCCCCCCGCCCTCCCCCACTACCCCTTTGCGCTGGCGGACAATAAATCTCATCCCGTGCGGTTTATATTTTATCACCCGAGCTCGACGGACTTTCAAGACGAAATAGAGGGTCTGTGAACTGGCTAGGCTCGTACGGGGGAGCTTTCTTCAAGGAGAGTTTTCAGTGAAATTGGGGCCCACAAAACCGAATTTAGTGTCATTTGGGGCACCTTCATTTCCGTTTTGAGGTATTTTTCATTACATAACGCACTTCAAAAGTGTCCGTTGTCCGTCTTATAGGGAGTTAATAGTTACAGTAAAATGACTGCAAAACGGCAGGGACCAACAGCAGGTGTCCATCTTATAAAGGCCAGTCTCCGTTAAGAAAAAGTTGACTGTACTGTAGCTCGACAATATTTTATGGTCATTCTTCTTATTCATCATTGTAATATTATGACTAGTGTAGGGTCCTATGCAGACACTCTTTTGGCTTGTTATGTAACCCTCCCCTTCAAATGGTTTGGTCGGTAAAGTAACAGTCAAAAATATCTTTGTGTGGAAAGCTACTGGTATGTATTTACCATAGTACTATTGACACCAAAATCATAATACGTCCTCTCATAATTGAAATAGTCATTTTTTCTTGTCCTTTTAAAAAATTAACAGTCATGAGACTGAATAACAGTTCATATGGTAAACTGGTTATGTCCATTTTTCGTCTTTCAGCTGGATAGAGAACCTACTGGAATTTGTACTTAAGTAGAACCCAAGAAACAGCTAGTAGTGTATTTCTTGTAAGAGTTTCAGAACAACATTTACTTGGGATACTTCACATCCCACTTTCACAACGGCTAATTCGTCTTGTTCATTTTCTCATCTTGCTGTGGAGAGCTTTGAGCAATAGTCTGTATTTCTTGTCCCATCCCATTTTTCTCTGTTCATGTAGGCATCAACAAGTGCATTTATTTCCAAGGAGAGAACTCTGTTGGAGTGAGAACTTTAGAAAATGCTCTGTTTTCAAAAGGAAGGCAGTCTCTTACTGAAAAATAACACAAAATTTCGTAATTTAGTATCAGAAGTGACTGCCAGGATTTTTTACATTTTTGTTTGATACGGAAATCAGGAGCTAAATGTTGAGACCTGTGTTTTAATATAACCAGCATCTTGAGTTTTCAATCTTTGTTTCCTCGTCTTTAGTTTTCTTTAGTCAGTACATGAAGCCTGGTGTAAAAAAAAAAAAGAGTAGAGAACCCCTTTTTTTTGCCGTTTTCATTGCTATTAAACGCCAGTAACCTCATGTAGTCTTAGAGGACTTTCATTTTTGTAAACCGAGTTCCTGAGATCTTGTAAGTGTGGGTCATGAAAGTGGACAGGACTCTGTAACGGTGTTCATAATACCAAATTATGGCCAAGCATTCTCAACATTTAAAACAACACAGGTATACTTTTCAGTTTGGAAGACAGTTATTTTTTCTTTAGAAACGGAGCTATTTCTTGCAATAACTGGAGATAAATCTCGTAAAAGTGATTGGAATTGACAGGTTTGGCTACAGACAAGTTTGAGCAATTTTGTCCACTCTTTTTCAGACGTAAAGAGCCTCTGGAGATGTCAGCACTTGACAAATGCTTTTGGGGGTATGGGTATGCTTGGAATTGACTGAGCCATTATAATGTCCACGCAACCATCTCTCATAACAATGAAAACCTTAACAGCCTGCAAGAAAGCTCTCCATTTAAGGGAAATCGAGAGAAGTCACAGGCAAGTGGCACGCAAAAGGAGACACAGAAGCAAGGTGCAGGGAACGAAAGTGGGAGCTCTTCATTTCCTGCCCCCTCACAGCTTTGCCACATTCACTTGCCACTCAAAATGAAGAGGTTGCTCCCAGTCCTATTCGGTGAACCAGTTACGTTAAAAATTCTGCAGAAAAATTTGAGCCATTTACATACTAAGCAAAGTCTACTATGGCTCCATGTCTCCTTTTTCAACAAAAAATCCTCACATATGCGTGATACAATGATGCCCAATTTTCCCCTCCAATAGTGTCTTGTTTGACCTAGTAACTCTTACCTGCTTCAGTCCACTCCTCCATCTGTTGTGCCTCATTACGAATTCTGATACGGTCATCTAGACTTTGATAAGACCATAACATAATGGCTGAAAATAAGACAAAAAAAGTTCAAATACACCATCACATTTCTTCTATTTCTTAAATAAAAGACTTCAAATAATAAAATCATTATTATCATACCTGTGTTAACAGGACCAAATTCAGTAAACCAAACTCCAACAGGTTCAGACAGCTTGCAGCGCACAGGAAGACCTTGAATAATTCTGTGCTCCCACTGTTCTTTTTTACCCAGCACCAGGTCATACACACGAAGCTCATACACACCTTACACAGAGTACACAGAGAAAAAAGAAAGTTTTGTAATTTATAAGTAACATCTATTTATACAAACAAAGTCAGCTGCTATCATTTTCCTTAGGTTCATATGCCTGTACAATTGATATCAAAAGCCTTGAATTCAGAGAGGGAAAAGCAACAACTGGTGTAAAATAATGCATTAGCTTCTCAACCATTTGTATTCAGCACATTTGAGTACCATGCAGCAGTTAAGAAGCCTACTTTCTATTTGTTTCATAATACATTTAGGAATTCCTTCAACACAGAAAAAGACTATTAATTTTTCTAATAGAAACCATCTACACAAACTCTGAATACCGTCAAACCCACTAACATAGGGAGACTGAAATTACCCTGTATATAAATGAGTTGACATGTATCTTAAGACATGGCCTTTTGTCGTGTTTACCTGAGAATTCAAATATGAATAAAGGAAACAGGGCTCAAAGACAAATTTAATTCCAGCTTGTCCTTTGGGCCAGCAGCTCTCTCATTTTGCTTGCCCACTTGCTCATCTTAATTAATGATTTTATTAACGGATGACTTGCCTGTACCCTTATCCATTAGGACAAGTTATTTGTCCAGCCAGAGAATCTACTTGTCCTTAAGACTACTGGTTGGGATTATTTTCCAGCCCTGAGAAGAGCAACATAAATATGCCAACCTAACTGAATACTGCCCCCAACACTACCACCCTACCCCCTCGACCAAAAAAGAAAAAGACTTTACCACATACCTCCTGTAGAGAGTGGAGGCTTCACTTTATACCATGGGGCTGCATTCATTACCCAGCACTCCTGTCACCAAATTAAATCACATTACTTGTTGTATTAACATGCAACAAATCATATTAAAAAATCATCAAATTTCATCAGTTATTATAATAAAAATTAATTACCAACATTTCGCAATTCATTCACATGTACTTCTGACAGGGGAAACTATAAAATTCCTTCCTTAGAGGCCTGAAAATAAAGCCCCTCTTCTATTATCAGCAAATTTTTCTTAACATTGTTTAATAATAAATGTACAACATAATTACCTGCTTGTCCAACATTTTTAGCATTTTCTTTATATAATCATTGATCCAGTTTTTATCCTGGGAAAGTCCTTTTCTTGCTTCCGCTCTTTGTGCATAGCTGTCTACAAATAAAAATGTGGTTTATGTTTTCGTTGGGCAACAGTATGCAAAGAGCACCTAATTGCATATTGTCTATGACAGCTAAAATTGTGAGGCTCCAGAGAACATACCCACTCCTTAGAGGGTGACTGTAAATTCCAAGAGAAAAAGGGTTTGAAAGGTAATCAAAAAAGCATCCATACTCCCTCATGAAGGTTTATTGAGCTTGAATCCCTCTATTACTCTGTAAAGCTAAACCAATTAACCCTTCATGTGTAAATATTTTTTCCCAAAAAGTAGAACTTTCCATGTTAGCAAGCATCCTGTGGGCCTGAAAAAGTGTCCACTTCGGAGAGATGTCTACTTGAGGGAGCTTTTAAATAATTGAATGTATGGTGTTGGTATAACACTGGGACCATCACCGAGTGTCTACTTGTAGCGGGTGTCCACCTGTGGGAGGTGTCTAACAGTAGGGGTTGACCAAAGTCCATATTTATAAGAGATATATTCATATTATCATATATTTATTAAAATACAGTGTAATAAGTCAAATACCATATTCCCAGATGTGTGTGACTTCATTCACACCTCCAATGTCACTTGTCCAATAACCATTCAGTTTGGAGTTTGAGTCAGACTTGAGGTGAATATATTCATGTGTTAAGTTCATGAAATCACCTGACAGGAAATAGATTTATTGTATGAGAAGGAAGCTACGTTAAAAGACGGATGTGTTTTTATGGGGGTAGTTAGCATATGCATGTTGGTTTCTCAGGTATCAAGTTGCCAAGCCTCGCAGCCAAGTTTGAAATTTAATATATCGAAATTGGTCTATATTACACCTTGGTTGAGGAAACATCTCAAACATAGAGCTCATTCTAGATATAAGGGTGATCACCATCCCGCTGGGTGGTACATAACTTGATAATACCCCTATCCCCTTCTAGGAAGGGGGAGTTTCTACACCCTTCACCTCTTAAGCTTCCCTCCTCAAAGTGGGGACTTCCCTAAGGAAAGGTATTTTACTCTAGCTTCAGTTAGGCCACATAAATAATTCTTGGTGGTTAAAACCGTTGTTCGCTTACCAAAAGCCTTGGGCTTTACATAGTATGTACGCAGCTCGTAAATCTTCGTGTCACGATCACTGGATGATTTAGAAGTCTGAGGTAACATCGTCGACGTTGACAGATGACTGTGAAGCCACGATCCAACCACGGCGCCACGGAAACGTAGCAGTCTTCCTGCTCTGTTTCGCAGAATAAGAGCCATTAAACAAATGAACAACTAACAAACCAAAACGCAATTTCAGGGGAGGACTTCGCGCGTCACGAACTCGCCACACAAACTGTCCTCCACACAGCGAACTTTCAGCGGTGTTTCTTTTAAACGCGGGCTCGTCGGTTTCACTCCTGGTTTCACTCCAGCAGACTGGAACCAAGAAGAAGAGAGGAAGTACATTCATTTTTGCCGGTTTCTGTGACGTTTTCGTTGAAAATGGCTTTGTGTTCTAACCCAGAAACTATAACAACGGTCGAAAGTGAACTGGAAATCGTCAAGAAAACACTAAATGAAAAAGTAGAGGGATCAGAGTTAATTTCATGTCACTCTGTTGCTGTAAATGTTAGAATCACGTAAGTGAAACAATGCATACATGTACGTTATATAAAGCTCATCTACTTGGGAATGCTTAGTTTCATTGTTAGTTCAGACTAAAAATTTTAAAACACATAAACTTCTATAAAAAAGGCCTTATTCAATTTACACATTTTATAGTCTGTCAAAGGGTTTTTTCCTAAATAATTAACTGTTACTGTAAGTAGTTTAAGGCAGGCATTTAACAAATTCAGGAGAGATAATTTATTTATTTCCGGCCACTTTATTCAGGCTGCTTTACTATAAGAAATATTTCTCATGTTAAGTTTCAGATGACTGTCTCTGAGGTCAGATGGCTTATTTTTTAAACCGTAAACTCTCGGTTTAAACGTCAAACTTTTCATGTACCAAACGTTTTATCTCTCGATTCAGTGGTACATGAAAAGATTGACGTTTGAATCAATAAGGTGCAGCATATCTAATTTGGGTCAGCCCATGGATTAAGTTCGAGTGGGCCACAAGGGAATTGACTTTGTTTCAAATGGTCAAATTGTGAACTTTTCATGTGTCGAATCTAAGGCATAAATTACCGTATATAATTTCCCTTTTACTAGTAAGCATTGTAGGCCAATGTACGTCATGAAAGTGAATCAAGTTCGACGTGTGAATCAACCATCGAACTTAACTCATTTGGGTCAACCCAAATAGGTATTCTGTGTTTTCACTGTCATGCCATCAAATATAAAAATGCAAACCAGTCAATACAGAAAGTTATCTGGGAAATTAATGGAGATAGATATACAAAAAGTCTTGCCAAGAATCAGGTCTGTACAATATTCATATGCGAGATATTCAGAAAAACGTTTTACCCAAACTTATAAGGCTTTGTATGGAGATGCCATGTTCATGTCCCTTTGAGGGGCACAAATATCGTCACCGGAATCCAACAGACACATCTGTTTTTGAGTTTTCCTTCTTATGGGTGAATTCATCACTTGAGGAACTCATAAAGATTTTTAAAGTAATATTTATTCCAAGACAAGGAATGTTTAGATAGCAAAATCTCAAAAACTAAGTAATGTTTTTAACCCGTATAAGAGCTTTCTCGGCTGCCACCTATTAAATGCTGTGTCATGCAAAAGCCTGGAAATTCAAGCATCTTCTGTAGCAAAGTGAAGAACCTTTCCAACCAAAAATTTGTATAAATAAAGGTTTTTTAGGTGCTGTAATACCTCATGAAAGTAGAAACTCAGAAGAATCAATAGTTGCTTAGTTTGAATTTTGGTGACATCATGTGAAAACCCCTAAAGGCTAATCAAGTTCTGTACGTGAGAAGTTCAACGGTTGTACTGGGTGTAACTCTTCTCTTTATGTTCTTTAGGAGGACGAAATTTAAGAGTGTTGTTGTGTTGCTTCAGTTTCCTGACAAGTATCCCACAAGTGCTATTATTGTGGAGTTGAAAAGTAAAACCTTACCTCCTCGCCTTTTAGCCAAAATGACCGAACTGTGTGACCAAGAAGTCAAAAAATTCCTTGGTAAACCTCAGGTGGGTAGACCAAGAACGAATCAAAAATTATGCATCATTTTCTGCGATTTGAATTTCCTGTATTCATTTGGTATTAAAATTAAGCACCAATAAAGTAAAGTATATAATATAATTCAGCTTATTACACTCAGCACAAAGACAATAAATTAATGTGCATATCTAAGCATGGATTTTTTTAAAAATCTGACTTAGAGGCAGTGTTACTTGTAAGTGTTAAGTTCTCAGTTGTGTCATAGATTGCAGCTGCACAAGAGTGATGATGTCACCATGGGACTGTAGTGGGGTTAGCTTTGTTTTAATAGAGTGCTGGTACTCAGAATGGAAGGTCTGGGATTCGATTCTTGGGGTTGAGCCAATACTTAACGTTTTTAAATAACTGAATAAAATGGTATTGCAGCTGCTTTGTAAACAAATAAATCTTTGCTAGGCTCAGATGACCACGCTGTAATGGCTCCCTTTGCATCTCCAGTAGGGGATGTAAAAAAAGTGTCCTCATTCAGTACTTTGTGCAAGGAACAGTGATGTCACTTAAAGTCAAATAAAGTCATTAATTTTAATTTACTGTGTTTTTTATGGAACAAAAGATTGTTGCTCTATATTGCTGTGTCTTACATTCAGGAAATATTAAATGTTCCATTTTTTACAAAATATTTCTTGTAATTTACTCTATAATTTTATTATTGCTTGCCTTAAGGTCATCCCCATTTTGGTGTTTGTGCGCAGATTTCTTGATGAGAATGCTTTGATCGCATGCTCAGATGAATTTCAATATATTAAATCAAGGCTACTAACAGATGCAGATCAACTTAAAGCTAAACAAAAAGCAGGAATCCTTAGTATTCGTGCCAACCAAGACAAGTAAGTGCCTTTTCGTACCCATAAAAATTGTTTAGATCACATCTACAAGGAAAGTTCACCCCTTGCTTTGACATCTTTGAAGTTTGGTAGACTAGTGTCCTGTGAGGGGACAGGGGTCAGATATTAATGTTATTTTACTCCTAGCAGAGCTAAACGCACTTATAAAGAAACCAGCATAAAGCCTGAGCCACATACAGCAAAAACCCTAGCTTTTTCCTATACCATGTAACAGAATTTGTTATCAATGTGTGTATAAACTTGAAATGATTGTAAACAATATGTTTTTTTTCAGTAAGTATTTAGCTAAGTATTGATCTACAAATGACTGAATAAAAATGTTGTCCTGTAGATATTTTCTAGATGTAAAGATTACTGTACCAGATGATTACCATGCTTCTGCCGTTAGGTGAGTGAAAATTGTTTTTTCAATAAGGCACTTGAATATCATATTATGTTTTTTTCTTCCCATTTCATTTATCAAATAAACGGACTCCAGGTGAAGGGCTAGGAATGTTATTACTGTACTCTAAAACTAGTGTGACATAGGGAAAGCTCCCCTGAATCCTCTCAGAACGTGGAGTCTGAACTAGATTCATGATCAGCTTTGAATTTTAGTGAAGGAATCTAGGGAAGAGTGTCATTCTAGAAATATTTTCATCGCTGATGCCAAAATTGGTTAAATTTTTGAGGCCAAGGTGAAGGCATCTCTCTTGCAAATTATTTCCTGCGACGCAGATTGATAAGTACCCTGCGAGCAGAGGCCCTTCGATCTTCCTAGATAAGTCCGACTTATCTAGGAAGATCGAAGGGCCTCTGCTCGCAGGGTAATTGATAAGAGGTTGCTATATTTCTCAAGCTATTAACAAGACAATGAGCTTAGCTATGTCTTGACTTATCGGTGTCGTTATTATCACCTGACTGAAGATATAAACTGAAGCAAGTAAAGAACTCAAGGTTGTTTTCATCTACAGGATAGAGCTGAAGGAATCAAACTTTCCAGATAACTTGACACGAGTGTTTATTGGTCAAGCAGTTGACTTAGCAAGGCAATGTGTTGAGGCACCCTTACGGCGTAAACCAAAGTTTGTGATTAATAAAATTATACTAATATTAGGGCTGTCATTAAGAGGGGAGGGCCACGGATTCTTGCGGCTTCTATGAACATGGCCCCATGGCCCTTGGCTACTTTCAAAGGAAAATAGAAGAGAAATAGAACCAAAAGAAACCCCCAGCTGTTTGATTTCCAGCCAAGTTGTTGTCGATATTTACCCGGTAACTTAAAATCTTAGTGACAACCCTCAATAATAAGAAGAAAAGTCTAGTATTTATCATTGGCCATGGATGTGATAAAGCAAATCCTTAAGCCTAAAATAACAATGAAAGGAAAAAAATTCCAATGAGCACAAGCCAGAACATTTTGCTATTTACAAGTGTGTCCAAGATGATCAATTGAACTCTGAAATACCAAGAAGAAGACAGTAAAGTCCATCTGAATTTTTAAGAAGAGCATAAGAAGAGTCGATAATAATTTCTTGCAGACTTAGTATTTACAATCCATAGTCAAATATGATGTCATTTGTACGTCTTCAGTCACTCATTTATTCATTGTGAGGGGAACACAACCCACAACTATCCTGCGGGCAGAGGTTTCTTTCTGGCATAACTTTTAGCTTGATGAATTTGTTCACATGGCTTCTCAGTCACATTAGGCGTGTAGGGGTGTAAACAAACCAACTACGCGACTGACAAGCAACGCAAATGACTATACAAATGCTAAGAGCCATTCCAGGAAAAAACCTCTTCTTGCGGGTTATCCCACAACAGACCTGCTCCAATTAACTTCAATGGCTTTATAGCTCTTGTAGTTTAAGTGTTGCATTGGTAACATAGATTTCATGGGGGTTTTGGCAGTTGCTTCTAAACTTGTTGGCACTACTGCAGTGATCATTACTTATTGGTAAATGACACAGATTAGCTAGATCAGTAACAATCAAAAGCAGTGTAATTTAAGTCAGAATCCAGTGTGTGAACTTTTTTTCTCCTCAGAGACCCGCCATTTGAACCAAAGCCGTCTTTAAAGTTGGTTTGTGACTTCCTTGTCGATCAGTGCGTCAGACATTGCCCTCTACAGACGTGTCCAATTTGTCAACAGAAAGCCTTGCCGGATAATCCAAGGGTATTGTTTAAGATTGTTTTGGAGGAGCTGTGTTCTGAAGTTTATCAAAATTCAAACAGTGGGAACAGCCACCAAATTGAGTGAAACTAAACATAATAAAAAGAAGTTATAATTAACATAGCAAATAGAAAAGGAGGGACTGATGGACAAACTTAAAGTAGATTGAAAGGGATTGCACTTCTGGGATTTGAAAACTTGTTGACCTAACAGTTTTTCAAAGTTCATTTTTGTTGTTAGCAACGTTTGATATAATGCTTGGGAGACATATTTGCTTGTCTTGGAAGCTGCCATTTAGTCATTCAAAAGTAATTTCTCCAGTTACAAGGCTGTGCTCTAAGGGAAATTGAAGGGAGCCCAGTGCTGTGAGCCTGTAAAATCTAGGGTGCCCAGCGTATGTTTTGTATGAAAAATCTGAGATTTTCTAGTCGCCCGAGAGTAAAAGTCAGGTGCCAGGGGCCACCGGGCTCTGCTAGAGCACAGCCCTGAGTTACATAGCAAACATGGATGAGCAATTGGTATTATTAACAAAATGGACTAGACAACCATGGCACAGCTCTTTTAAGCTCTTTTAGAATGTCTTTCCAAGAGATCAAGCATGGCTAAGGACAAATTAAAGTACCTTATAGTTTTTTTTGTAAGAGGTTTTGTTTTTTAGCTCACACACCTACCCCCGAACCCCTAGCCTGCGAACACTAGCCTGTTGTAGCCTGTGTAGTCGTCATTTCCATTTCCCTCATATTAAGCCAAGCGGGGCAAGCATGAAAGACGTGCAAGGGCTAAAAGGAGCAAAAAAATAGGAGGGGGGCAGGGAAGTTTCCTTTCCTTCCCCGCTCCCCTCCCCCCCCCCCCCCCCACCACCCCCCGACCCCCAGGCCACCGAACACTGCCCTGTGTGGGCCTGGGAGGCGTCCTTTTCCTTTTCCCTCATATAAAACCAGGGGGGGGAACAGGGAAAGGCGGGGAGGGGAAAAAAGGGACAAAAAAAAGGGGGGGGGGGGGGGAATTTCCTTTCCTTTCCCCCCCCCCCCCCCCCCCCCCCCCCCGCTCCTTTTATTTTTAGGGACCTTACGATCCGACAACGGCGTCGTCCATGAAAACGTCGCTGAAAAATAAACTTCGCATCCTTTTAACCTTTTTCGCGATTATCCCAATTCGCCCTGTTACTTAGAAGAAGGGAATTTTGGTTGGAGCTGAGGAGAGGGGACCGCGCCCGAAATTCAGACAGAGATGATAGAATTTATTGCCTTGCGGTTCCCGTTCTCAAGTAAACTTAAAATTTGGTCATTTCACGTCGTAGTTGTGCAGGGACAGGAAAGAAATGTACAAAAAAGCGTGATGCACGTGCAGAGTTGTTGTTTTGGTCATTAAACTTATTGCTTCTTTGACGTTCTCCTTGCTGTCGCCGTCGTAGTTGAGTAAAGGTCCCTTTTGTTACTTCTAAGGCTGACATGTCTCGTTTGTCCTGCTTGGCTCGAAGGAAACGGAAATGACTGCTACACAGGCTACGTTTGCTGACACAACAACACCATTGTTTAACGTGCATCTGAGTTGCTACTGGCAGTATTCAAACGGTTGTTGTGTTATTGAACTCTACAGGAAGCAGTTACAGATCCAACAGACCTTAAATATGTTGAACGTGTCTACTGCAATCATCTCTTTCACTATGGATGCCTTGATAAATACATGAAAACCCCGCCTTTTCAAGGTATGAACCTTTATGTTAGCCTGCGTGCAGACATCTCCTATTCTAATAATTATTCCAAATTCCGAAGTTAGAACTAGTTTCACTTTGTGTGACTGAACCAAAGTAGCTTGTGAATACAGTCGCCAGGGACGTTTCTCGACACTTCTGTTGGGTTGAAGAGCGAGGAGAAACAGCCGTATTCGCAGGCCAGAGCCCAAGAGAAGAAAACGTCGGTAGTTTTAGCTTTTGCAGCGGTCGTATTTGGAGATTCTAATGAGACATAATATGGGGTAGACTGCGAGCAATTTCTTATTTTTCTTTTGAGTCGAAGAAAAACGACCACTCGCGGTCTAAATATTGGGCAAATTTAGAAACGATAACGCAAAAGCGTGCTTAAAGGACTGAACACGACTTTCGGTGCCCATTTTGCCGCTCTGCCATTGGTCAATTCCGTGTTTAGCGGTGTGGGCGCCGTCGTCACTTTCGTCGATGCATTGGGGAAGAAGGTCTCCCTGCCAGTCAAATCAACTTTAGTCTATATGAGAATAAAGTTGACCCCATCGCCCGAGTCAAGAGCTGACGAATACGCTCTAGCATGCGTCGATAGTGTCGCCTCGACCGGGTTGACCCGGCTGGCGAGTCAAACTGCTTACATGCTGCTAGAAGGGTGATGGAGAGGTTTCCTTTACCGTTCATATTCCACAGGTCACGACAAAAATAGCAACATAATTATAAGTAATTTCCCCTCCATCAAAAACAACATTTTGGATAACGTTTAGGGCTAGGAGACATTTCTGGGCTTGTTTATTTATCTGTAGCATGGTGACCTGTATTTTGACCTGTGGAATATGAACTGTAAAAAATACCAGCCGAAGGGTGACTCCGCTAAGCAGGTCACCCTTCAAGCCGAGCCAACTTTTTGTTCTCTGATGTAACCGGTTCTTCAAGTTTTGTTCAGCCTGCGTGGCCGGTGTTGAAAGGGGAAGCGGGAATTTGGGCGCGCGCGAGGGAGAGCTTATCTTTGCATATCAAATTAGGGGCGGTTTGGAGAAAACAATAGCGTCCGTGCCATCGTTCCTTTTCTTTCTCCCTCGCGCGCCCCACACGCCCTCTCTCGCGCCCAAATTCCCCCTTCCCCTTCCCCTTTCAACGCCGGCCACGCAGGCTAAGTTTTGTTAGGAAATGTAGGAAAAATTTGACTCACCGAGGTAGGCGAGCGATCCTTCTACCCGGGACAAGACAAGTGTTCTCCATATAATTAGGACCTAATAAGACTAGAGCACATTTCATGGCTTTGGGTTCAGTATAAGTTTGTTTTCTTTACTAACAAAAGGGGGTTTTGAACATTTATGTTTCCCGTTTCCCAGGCGGAAAGAAATGTCCGGCTTGTAAAAAAAGGATATATCATGAGCGTTGGAAGATCACGCCTAAACTCGCAGAGGAAAGATGGGCACACCACGAGGCAAAGAAAAGAGAACTCTCAGAAGTTGTGGACTTTTTAGGAGACTGTCTTTGATATCAATTATTATTCTCAATAATTATACAAGTTAAAAATAAAGCAGTTGCTTTAACTGTACCCCACGCACAGCTGACATGCTAGGAACTTATTACCGTATTTATTCGATTAACCGCCCTGGGCGCTTATTAAATTTTTGGACATTGAGAATGGGCGTTTATTCGAGATAGGCGCTTATTCGAGGCTGGGCGCTTATTAAATTTTCACCATTTTCAGCAAGTTTAGTATGTTTATTTTGCAACAATGCAATAAATGGTAATAATAAAACGCGAAGATGTAGCAAAGCAAGGTTTCTGTAAAATACTCTGAAGAAAACTCCGTCCTCGGGCAAGTCTGTTATTAGTAATATTTAATATTTTTTGGGTCGGAGGGACCAGAAAGAGATTGGGGGTGGGGTGGGCGCTTATTTGAGTTTGAGTTTGAGTTTGAGGCGGAGGGAGGCGGGGTGGGGGTGGGCGCTAATTCGAGGCTGGGCGCTTATTAAATTTTTCTGCCTTCAGGATGGGCGCTTATTCGAGGTGGGCGCTAATTCGAGGTTGGGCGCTTATTCGAATAAATACGGTACACCGCTTTCAGTTGGTTTCCTTCTCGAATCTTAGGGCCTGTTTACGTGGAGGTGGGGGACCCCAGGTTGGTGAGGTAACCCTTTCTTGTGGTGTAACCCGCCTGTCCATATAATCTATCATTTTAATTTGATCACGTTTGCATGATAGGTGGAGTGACTCGCCGCATTTCACTTCACCCATCTGGGGTCCCCCAATTCTGTGTAAAGAAGCCCTTAGAAAAATACCTAAGTAACGCCGAACGACGTGCTGAAACCGAGACGATGTCAGGGTCGAAAGTCTCTCGTACCCAGATCTCTCGTGGACTAAGAAATCTGGGAACGAGATTAGAAGACCTCTTCTGATAACCTTTTTTGCTCGATTACTATTTCTCGGTATCTAAACCAAAAAATCACAGATTTCTACAGCCGAGAAGTTACCACAAGCTTTAGGAACAAGGCCTTAAGTTTCGATTTGAAAGGTGGTTGCACAACTTTTGTAATTAAATGAACAGAATCTCTCAAATTGTTAAAAGGTACAATTTATTTTATCCGCTATAAACAATCTCTCTCTTTCCTCCGTATATAGCCATTGTCTATTTTCGAACCCCACAGACACAGTCTCTTTACCTTCCCCCCCCCCCTCCCGCCAATAACTTACGCAAATTTTTGGGGGTAAGCAGAGTGTATTATAAGGAATTCGAAAAAAGTCGATAGAACTTCGTTAACTGTAAAAGTTGCATGCCGCAAAAAGCACGGGCTATATTTTACTTCTAAAAATGGCGCAATTACCGTTCGTGCCCAAAGATCGGAAACGCCCAGTTCTATGAAAATCTCTTCCTTTGTGAAGACTGACCATTCTATATGATCGCTGCGAAAAATGTTCCAAGATCGTTTACATGGAAGCATTAGTATCAAGGACACTAGTTTTGAGGTTCACTATTGTTCAGCTTTGTTCAATCAACTCTTCTTTCTACCTCGCATGCGCACAGACACCTGAGTTTGGCTATAGGACCTGGCTCCATCTCCGTTGGGCGATGTTATCGCAAGCTCAGCTACCTCCACGATGGTTTTCCCAAGTTCGGTTCCGAAAACGGGTATCCCGTTGGGATTTTCCATCGGGCCATTTATTGAATCAGAAGCTCCTCGCCTCTCTACGAAGATTTTCCAAAGACGTTTACCTCTATACTGCCAACACGTCTGGGTAAACTACAGTCCCGAGGGGATCTTGTAGAATGTGATCGTGGATGTGAATAAAAAGTGGGATATAAGTTAAGAAGTCCAGGAAGTCTAAAGCAGTTGTCCTGCCGAGGACTTTCAATGTTTGTTCTCTTTGTTCCGCTGATAAACCTCCAGCCGTAAGCCCAAGCATAAGTTCCTCAAGCGAAATGGTCTTCTTGGCTTCGTCAACATAGCATAAGAAGAGCCGCTAAAATAATGAAGAGACGTACAGTGTGTTATGAAGAGTAGTAGGCATTATAATCCACTTTTTGGGGGGAAGGGGGACGGGGGTTGCTAACATTTCTACCCCTCCCCTTCCCCCCCCCCCCCCAGTTGCTCAAAAGGTGGATAACGCTATCTACCTGATAAATCTCTATCCATTGGATAACGCAGTCGATTTCCATAATACTTATTTGTCGGAAAGTGATTTATCCAGTGGACAGCACTATCCAACGTTGGAGCAACCGGGGCCAGAACAAGACAGTCTAAGCTATTTGTTAAAAAAAACGACTCGATTAAGTCGACACACTATTTTTCAAGGCCAGCCTACAGTAACAATATTTTAAACGGGTTAAATCCTGAACCTTTATACTAGTAAACTAGAATAGTCTTAACTACACTGCAAAACAGTCGGTTTTTTCTCAAAATCGCTTTTTCAAGGCGCAAGGCGCCAGCGGAACGTTAGAATCTCACAAGCGAGAAGCGCTCGAGTCTCACACGCCCGTGGTTAATTCCCGCGTCCTTGACCACGCAAAAGTACGGACTGTATGAACTGGTATTAGACTCAAAGTTATAACTCTAACAAACAAATCCTCTCGAACTTCAATTACCTTTGATTTTTGCAGCTTGAAGTCAAGCTCTCTGAAATCCAACTTGGCTAAAAGGATTTTTGCAAACTCACTGTTAAGAAAGGTAATGAATCACATTAGTGAAATAAATGAGAGAAATTTACGGTAAATGATAAATCTCCGTAAACTTGACGTACTCTAAAACTGCCACGCGTTGAGAAAATGCAGCAACAACAGAAAACAACTTGAAATCTGCTCCAGCGTCCAGACTGCAGTCACAGAGTTCTAGAACCTAAAAAACAAAATGGAACATGTTGGGATAAAGGTGTCGAGGTACCAGTAGAACCCCAGTAACTCGAACTCTGAAGGGAAACAAAATCCAGTTTGAGTTACAGAGGGTTCGAGTTAACGGGGTCGACGAAACATTCTGTTTGCCTTCTTAATAATTGATAGCTATTGATTTTTTAAAACCTTCTGCGTATACCGGTACAGAGCAAATTTAACTTATTTCATCAGAAAGGGTAACATAATTGCACCAATTAAAATCAAATCGTAGTGTTAGTTTTATTGTTTTTTAGATTATACAAAAAAAGGGGCTGATGGATGCATCCGAGTGGAGTTCTAAATTCGAGTTATCGGGGTAAATGTCTGTGACATTTTGATCAAGGGAAAGGAAATTTAGTGCGAGTAAGCGAAGAATTCGAGTTATAAAAGGTCGAGTTATCCGGGTAAAAAATGTTTGAAAAGTAAGGTCAAATGGTAGAAAATGTGGAAAGAAGGGGTGACAACAGCAAAAAAAAAGAAAGTTAAAAGTGTCCAAAAACATCCTTCAAATAGATGACTAAAGAAAAACAAAATGAGGATAAAAACCAGAGAAACTCGGAAGTGACGCAAGAGAGAATATTGAATCAAAAGGCCAATACAACCACAGTAAAAACAATACCTGCGAGAAGTTAATATTTATTTAAATTCTTAGAATAAATTTCCTCTAGATAACCGTTAAAACCGTCAAAAGCCCAAACAATTCACCACTAACCTTCAAAATCGTACCCTGCGAGCAGAGGTTTCTCTCTTGCATGGCTTTTAGCGTTTAAGAAGTCGTTCGCGTGCTCGTCTGTCGCGTAACTGGTTTGTTTACGCCCCGTTTCTAACAAACCAACTACGCGACAGACAAGCCACGCGAACGACTTCGTAAACGCTAAAAGCCATGCGAGAGAAACCTCTGCTCGCAGGGTATCAAAATCGAAAAAATTTACCGTCAAAGCTCCCCCCTATCCCTAATGAGACCCTCTTTTCAAGATCGTGTCACAGCAGTAGTCAGTGATCCGTACCAATGTTTACATTGGAGACAATGAATCAGCTGTTCTATTATCGCTCTTGGTATTGTCTTTTTTACAGCGTCTCTTTGCATTTTAAAGGTCAACGAGGAAGATGGCGGCTAAGAACAACACTCCAATGCCTTCACAAGGCAATCTACTTTCGTACGCTGATCGCGATTTAAGGATTACAAAAGAGAACCTCTACATGGTCCTTGCTCTTTGGATGGAAATGTTTCCTCTTGGTTCTGACGAAGCTAACTCAGATGGTTCGTTTAAAAATGTTGGAGCGGTGCTTGTGTTGCCCAATGATATGATCTATGCAGTGGACTGTTCAAGAAACGGCGTCCATGGCGTAGCTCGACTATTAATGGCCCATCCTGATGTTCTACAAGATTGCAAAGTCTTTGTTTCTAGAAAGCCATGCTCCTTATGCACAAAGCTTCTGGTTCAGTCTCAAATCAAGAGGGTCTTTTACTTCCCGATTGAACCAGAATACATTGACCGAAAGGATCGTGAAGCCGAAATGCAACGCGTCGATAGCTTGTTTAAAGTGAGTCCAATCGGTCAGACTGTGTTTGTACCCAGAGCTGGAAAAGAAGTGCTCGCGAATACGGAGAAAAAATATCCAGACACTCCGCAGAATATCAGAGATCAGATAAAGGAACAGCTTATGAATACCTATTGGGGCGAAAAATGGAAAAAGAAAGCAAGAATTGATCTGCCTTGGCCTGCGTTCGACACAAACATGGAAGAGCAGGTCACAGACGATTTTGATGGGATGATGGAATGGATGGCCACAATTTTAGTTGGTTCGGAGAAAGGATACAAATTTAAAGCCCACTCCAAGATCTCTTCCCAGTATAAAGACTTGCTATTTAACCCGGAAGAGAATCCTGACGATGGCCGGCAAGCATCACACCTGATCACTTTGGCAAAGTTCCTAGCGGAGCGTACAGATGATCCAAGAAAAGGAGTTGGAGCAGTCATAATGAACGAAGAAAGGGAGATTGTGGCTCTCGGATGGAACGGATTCCCTACAAAGGCGCTTTATGGTGAGTTTCCCAGAGCCTCAGACAAGGATAAAGACGTGCAACAGAAGAAATACCCTTACATCATCCACGCCGAGCAGAACGCGCTCCTGATGCGAAACACCAAGAAAATCAGAGGCGCTACATTGTTTGTCACGAAAACGCCTTGCAATGATTGCACCCTGCTGATTGAGATGCTTGGGATCACAACATTTGTCCTCGGAGAAAAGATGCAAAAAGGCAACAAAGAAGATGCAAGTGGGGAAATAAACTATACTAAATTCGCAGACAAAGTAGAGAACAACGTCTTCATTTGCTTTGAAATGGAAAGTGGTAGCATTCCCGCAACAAAGAAACGAGACTTAAGTAATATATAAATGTAACAGTTCATTAAGGTCTAGTCTGACCAAAAACAGCCCAGACGCGGAAATCTGTTTGAATTGGAATGTTGTAAGAGCATATAATGGGGTAAATGAAATACATCCTAAATTCTGACTTACTTGTTTGTGTGATGCATTTTACGGTCTATTTCCTTCTGGAGCCATTTAGAAGCCGTTTTGGCAATTTTTCGATGATATTTCGTATTTCGTATTGTAAGTACAACTGGTAACGCGTCGTTTCAATATAAAAAAAACTAATTACAACTCGACTGAATAAACTCGTATCGAAACGACCGGTAACAAACAGTACAACTACAACTAGAAATTATGAAATATACTTATTATCTATTACTAACGAACATTCGGAAATTTCGTTCCTTTAATTATATCTATTCTTAAAAGGATATTTTAAACCGCGAAATATTTAACAAAAAGACCCCAATTTTCACTGCAAAGATTTGATTTAAACCAACTGGAAACAGAGAATTGACGAAATATCTCAAATGAAAAACCGTCTGCTAAAAGCAGGTTTTAACTTCAAAAACTTTTTTTCATTTTAATATTCTTTACAGTGAGCTTGTAGGAAGTAAAATGCTCTGCAAATACCATACAACAGTTACTAGAGAGACCGACAGACAGAGGATACTGTCCATAAGTAGCTCTTCTTTGCTATCACACGACAACACCCGAAGAAAGGTTTAGTATCCAGAAACTTATCACTCCTTATGAGTTTCTGTGAAAACCAAATAAAATCATCCCACAAACAATTGACACGATAAAGTTTGTTTGTACACTGAAAATGTTCTATCTTATCGTCTAAGGAGGAAACATCAGGCAAGGCGTGAAAAGTACTTACTCGGTAAATATAACTGATATGAGAGTCCGATAGTAACTTGGAATTGACGCTTTCCAGGGCTTCTAAAACTTCTTCAGGAAACAAAAATCCATCCTCATCCTCGTCGAACTAAACAAAATTAGAAAATAAGACATCAAAAAGCAAAATTGGCGTAAACTTACCCAAATCAGGTAGCCGAACTGGTGTAAATTCCCAACGAACGAAACACGAAAGTGCGCACTCAGACCTTTTAAACATGGTGAAAGAGACGAGCAACTTTGTATCTCACTGGAGATATGTTGATATTTCTGGGTACCTGACTACCTACCCCTCCCCTGAGTCAACATTAACACTTACTCCTCACTTGAGGCAAAATTGTGACTTAGGGGAGGGGTAGGCGGTCGGTTACCCGAGGTGGAATAGGCGCGATAAAGTTTGAAGCAGCGCGAATGACGTTTTCGTAGTAGTTACCGTCGTTGTTGTTTAAGCTCCGTAATATGCCAGAATATTGGGGCGCACTGTTCCCATACACTTAAAGACGACAAAAGCACACAAGTCCGTATCGTGTGAGACAAATTACTGTAGGAAATTAAAGACTTACGGTCTTGAAGATCCGCCGATAATAATTAGATTGCCCTTCACTTATTATGCAGTACTTGGTCAGAAAATCATCTACAACAGATAAACACCACAGTGAGATTAACTTATTAGACAGATTTAGCAAAGACAACGCGACGGCAGTGACGAAGGCGCGCGCAGATCACAGCAACAGCATGACCAATGGCAGAGCAACAAAATGCGAGGCATTAAATGCCCTTAATTTAACAACTCTAAGTGACAGACGCGCCCACCTAGGCCAGGCTTATATTGATAGACTCCGGAATGAGAATCACCCCTTGCATTTTATGCTCCCCAAACAGGAGGAGGTTGTGCATAATTATAATCTTAGATCTGGCATTAGCCGCTCCACGCGTCCTACCTGTAGGACCAAGAGCACGCAAGAGTTTGTCACGCATAAGTATACCTAGTGGCTTGTACAATTTTTTTTTTGTAGTATTTATTGGATTTATTGTATTATATTTTAGTATTATATGTTTTGTAAACAGCTCTGTAATTCAACCATTCTGTATATTGCTGCAATGACTCTTAATAAACAGTCATTATTATTATTATTATTATTATTATTATTATTATTATTATTATTATAAAATGCGCAACGGAAGTCGCTTTTAGTTCTTTTCCCGCGCTTTCCCATCCTCAACAGACGTCCTTGATCTGTTGCTAATTAGTATTGTTCATTAGTATTGTCGCACAAGCCAACGTCCACTCACCTAATTCATTGCGTGCACTGTAATTGTCATGTAAAGGACTCGGTGCTTGAACCTCTCTCTTTGGTTTCTCCATAGCGGCCGCGAGTTTCCTTCTTCTATCCTCAGCAACTTGCTGACGTAACAATTCATTGCGGATACTGTCATCGGTCTGTGCACGGCGCCTGCGAGGTTTAACAGGTTCTTCAGGTTTTCTAACCGGGAACATACTGAAGCTTCGCTTAGGTTGAGCTGGTATCCGAGTTGCACTCTCTGAAGAGCAAATTATGATTTGGTGAAAATTTATTATTCATGGCTTTTAGAAAGTGATCGTAATTTAAGGTAGTTACATGCATTAATGACAATACCAAGACTTTCCCAATGAAGAAAGTAACTACAGTAGTATAATGAATCTAGGGAAAGGGACCAGCTTGAGGAATTTTGATTAAAGCCCCTTTCATATGGAGACAATTTGTCAGGGGAAGAGGGTCATCCTACCAGTAGAGACAACTTTAGCGAGCGTTCATATGAGAAAAAAAGTTGACCCCATTTGCCCGAGCCAGCAGCGCTCGCCCATGCTTTGATTGTCTCGCCTTGATCCAGTTGACCCTGCTGAGCGAGCCAAAGTATTTACAGCTATTTCGAGAAAGGTTGTCGGAAAAAAAGCACGTGACAATCCCGAAAGGTATTCTGGGTGGTTTTGAGTTCAGTGTTCTTCAAAGAAATTTGAAAGAATGGCACGAGAGGCCATGGACATATGTTTGCGACAAAAGGAATGCAACAAAAGTATGTTCGACGGGCTACAGTGTCAGGAACAGTGTATCGATCATATCCCATATTATCTTTCGGGATTGTCGCTAGGCTCGATTTCCGCCGTCTCCCGGGTCCGGTGTTCGAACAGCGGCTGGTAATCGAGCCTAGATTGTCGCGTGCAGTTTTTTCCGACAACCTTTCTTGAAATAGCTTTATATGAAGAAAAGACTACAAGGGTGACCCTACCATCAAAAGTGAATGACCGCGATAGACGGGTCATCCTTCTTAGTTGAGCCAACGTTTTGTTTTTCATGTTAACGAGTCGTCAAGTTTTGTAAGAAAATGTATGAAAAGTTGGTTCGTCCAGAGTAGCTCGGGTAGGAAAGTAGCCCTTCTACCCAGAACAACTTTTCTCCATTTAAAGGAGGCCTGCGTGGTAGTTATTATTTCAAGAGCTACCATTGACAGGTCCATCTGTAGGAATTTCAGAAAACGGAGCTTCGTAAGGGTGATCACTAAAACAACTATCTTATAAACTTTGCGTAGAAAGAGTTATTTAAAAAGTACGAACCAAATAAAACACGGATAGCGATGATAAACACTTCGGTCAATCAACTTTTCATACTAAACTTGGCGCTGGTTTACCACGTTTATCTCCGCTGCTTGTTTTTTATCTTCAATCAAGTTACTAAGCCGTAAACTAATGACAAAAGTTTATGTGATAAGCCGCCTCGGTTTTCTTCTGTATAGAATAAAGTGCACACTATTTGTTTGACATGGTGACTTAATCAAATAACACATTTTTGCAATCAAGTGATTTTTTTGACCGACAACTAAGACACAGTGAACGAAAAAAAAAAAAAAAGCTTTAAATCGCAAAACATCAACTCTCCAGGAAAGTTGGCCTTCGCCGTCGTCCTTTCTTAAGATCCCAAAAATGAGAGACGCAACGTGAAGACCCAGTTTGCACAAGTTTAGACTAAAAAGTAATCCTTGGCTCTGGACGGTAGCACGGAGAGTACAAGGCATACCTGGTCTCTTAGGGATTTCAGGGAGGGAGGGTGACTTGATTTGTGTCTCTGCTTCTTCTTCTTCTTCTTCTTCTTGTTCTTCCTGAGACGAGGCTTCACCTTCTTCCTCGATTTCCTCCAACAGAGCGACACTGGTAACGAGGGATTGCTTTGTCTTCTTTTCTTTAATTTTCTTCTTCTTCTTCTTTTTCTTTTTTTCTTCGTTTTCTTCTGACTTGTCTTGCTTTGATTTCTTGGACTTTCGCTTAGCTTTCGAAGTTTCAGATTGCTATCGAAAAAAAAAGGCATTACAATCACCTTAAAAAACTTTCTGTGAATAAACCCTATTCACGATACCCGCCATCTTTGCACGCGCTTTAGCATTGATGGGATAAAAACAATGTCACATGGTATTTCAGTGGTGGGGGGGTGGGGGGGGGGGTGCAAACAAGTGACAAAATTTGGCAGTACAAGTCATCGCGGTCGAGTTTGTCTATCCTCTCAAAGCGAGACGACGAGTTAAGTTTTGCAAAATATACATATATTTTTATATTTTTTTCATTTTTCTTTGCCTAGAATAAAAAAACTGCCCCTGAGAAACCACGTGACATTGCTTTTCAATATCCCATCAGTCCTAAAACGACATAGATGACGCTCAATGATTCTTTGCAATATGATGAACCATTAAGGAAGAACCTAAACGATTATTACGCATTTAGGTTTTGCGGGTTTAAATAATGAGTAACTTGTCTGTTCAAGAGTGTCTAATCATACCAGAAGTTGCCAGCCTCAAATATGTGCTCGGTACCTAGTCAAACGACGAACTTTGTATGTATCAAATCTAATACCAATGAGCAAAATCCATTGGTTTTGCTTATTAGCATTAAATTCGGCTCATGTGGAGTTCGACGTTTGACTCGGGCCTAATTTAGAGCTTTGAAATTTAATCAAACGCTCAACATCACGGATAACAAAAGTTCGAGTAGAGAGACTTAGAATCACGTTTACAGCAAACACAATGTCAGATTTAAGTTTACAATTTCTCAAATAAGGAAATGAGCAGATAAAAACTGTCCAAAATACTTCTTATGGATGAAAATAAAACCACAATTTTTTGAGTGCTCAATAAAATGAACAGTAAACAAGCAAAAAAATTGTGCTACGTGATCAAGTTTCCCGATTCTCTCGATTATCAGAATAATTTCGATTGTGGTGACTATTGAGACTTTTAAATTGTCCAAGACAACTGATAAACTCTTCAACCGAGAACAATTTGCCCTTTTCAACAGACAACGATTCCAAGCATGCATGATCTGTACATCATGATATTGCCTCCAGTGAACCCATAGGCTATAGGAAACATGGGTTTCGACAAAATAAAGCGTACATTTTTGTTTAATAAAGTTGAATTACTCACATTGTGGAAGAACTGACCAGAAAGGACAAAAGACTACTTCAATGTAAGTAATTCAACTTTTTCAAACAAAAATTTAACCTATATTTGGTCGAAAGCAATGTTTCCTATAGCGCGTAATTAACCTACGCGTCACTGAAGTTACCCAAATTTTAAATGGCCCAGACCACGGATTCTATTGAACACAATGCCCCACTAAAATTGGGTGACCATCTTCAGTTGTTATTAATAACTTAAAAACAAACCTTTTCTCCTTGGACTGTAAGACCGACCATTGATGAAGTACTTTGAGACACCACTGCAACTAACAAATTAGTCACAAAGGGTACGTTAACTCACGACAGAAAATAAAACTCTCTTCAGATAAAATCCCAGACTCGTTTTTTCTTCCACCAATCACGTGTATCTCGTTAACAAAAGCAGTAAAGACCTTAAGATAAGCCTGCAAAACTCCGAGGGAGGGGTAATCCCTCTAATTAAACAGTATTTAAACTTCTTCCATCTGGGCCACTACAACACGGCGTACTATACTCCGATTAATAACTTAGCAAGTTTAAATGAACGTATAACACAATATGATTTGCGTCAAATCAAGTTCCCATTTGTTTTTTCCTCGTTTTACAAGTTTTCACCCAGTAGCTGGCGGTCCAAGAACGATTTACAAAGGGGGATCGTTCAAAATGTGCAGTACAGGAGGATTTCACACTCTTCATGTTCGGTTGACTCTGTGCGCGTGAAGCGCGAAGTGATTGACGTCAGCGTTGACGTTAACTGTAAAAATTGACCAATGATAGGGTATACCAGGAGTGAAGTATTGAAAACAACGTTTACAGGCTCCACTTCACCGTCTTTTCCCAGCTCCCCATGCGGTCTTCACGTACTCGTTCTCGATGTACTTGAAACAGGCTAGAACTGAGTTTGACACATTGCTTTGCTCATACCTTTACTTTGAATCTGTGAAGCAGTCTCCACAACAGAAACAACAGTATCTTCCTCCCAAACATCTTGCTCATCAACCTCTTCTTCAGTTCCACACACAAACTGCTCAACTTCCTCCTCTTCTTTCTCCTCCACGATCGTTTCATGCTCTCTTAGGCCCTCCTCGGTTTCGGTGAATATTGATGTCGGGGGCGGTGTTACGCTCGTTAGATCGCATTCTTGAAAAAAAGGTTATGAACACAGTGAAGTTACTGGTTGTCATTTAACTCAAATTATGACAGACTTTTGACTTCTTTAATTTACTGCAGCATTTATTGCCTGGTGAGCACTCTTTATCTCATTCAGGCATGAAAAAGAGACGTAAGAAAAACATGCAGTATTCTCTCTTTTCATCCCTCAGCCTTCTCAAGGAGGTAGAGACTCCTTGAATTAAACTTTTGTAAGACTCTTTCTCCCCTGTGTAATTACACTCATAAACTAAGTTCTTTTAAATCGTACTCCTCAGCCTATAAACAGAATTTTCCTACTTTGAAGCACAAGATTTAATAGGACAATTGTACGATGACGTCATTTACTAAAACTACCAGAATCCTTCAGTTTGTTCTTTTCTTGTGCAAATTAGGTATTGTTTCTTAAACCTCGGCGGGATTGACGAGTTTATATAGGAAAGCAAAAACGAACTGAAGTCAAACGACTTCATCGTAAGAATAGCCTAATTACCTGTCAATAAAAAATTTTAGTGTTTTATTCCTCTAACGGATAGAAACAAAGTTCATCACCTCCAAACACAGCTCAGTGGAGGAAATTTTTGAGTAAGACGCCTTTTGAAAACAAGCATAACACATGCGTAACTTACATTTGTAAGGACCTTTTGCAAACAGATCAGGTATGCGTTTCTGTCAAGTGGGCTAGCGTTACAAAAGCAGGGTAAAAAAGAACTTTAAGCCGATAAACGCGATGCTCACCTACAGCTTCTCCGTAAACTTCTACCCTCAAAGCGATACTGTTTTTCCACGACTGCGGTAGAAATCGCAGAAATCTCGCTTCAAAGGGGTATAAAATGCTGTTGATAACCACTGCATTGTTGTCTTTGTTTCCGTTAAAAACCTGCCACCAAATTGAAAACATAAGATTAGCAGTATATCGAGCAAGTCAGTTGTAGGTTTAATTTACACGATACTCGTGTCGCCGTATTACAATCGCACATCGCATACGACAAAGGTGCGCCGTGTAAATCCGGGAGGATCGATGTGATCAGAAAATAACCCTTGACACTTGGTAGCTTTCTTTGGAGGCGCGTGTGGCCGAGCGGTTACCACCTCGAATTCCGGATCTGGAGGTCCGGAGTTCAAGCCTCGCCCGTCACGTTGTTTCCTTAGACAAGGAACTTAACTCCACTTGGTCTCTCTTCACCCACAAATGGGTACCAGCGACATACTGCTGGAGGTGAAGGGTAACCCTGAGATGGACTAGCATCCCGTCCAGGGGGGAGTAGCAATACTCTTAGGCATGCTTCATGGTAAGGAAACCGGGATAAGTTCCGGCCATTTGGGCCTTCGGCTAATCAGTGCGCTTTTACCTTTTTTTGAGGTTTGTGACAACCAGAAAACTTTGCTTAGTGCTTATCGCTAGCGTATTGTACGAGGAATGTGTTCTATACTACGCTAGTTAGATATTTTTCTTTTAAAGAATGTTTTTTATCGTTATGCATATGTTTGATGTACAAGCTGGCCAAACCCGAGTCAAATTCTACTGATCCACACGAGACCAGCAGCCGCTCAGTGGGAGGGGAGGTAAGGTAAGTGGACAAACGGACACGGTTGGAGGGAAGAAAGGGAACAACTAAGATACTTCACATCTTATCTTTTCTTCCCTCCATCGTTAAAATTCCTCTACGCAGACGAGCTTATACGAAAACGGAATGAAAACGGAATTTCAATTTCTAAGCTTCATCTATAGATCGTTCCCGAATTTTAAAAGCCTTCACTTTCAAAATGAGGCTTAAGGCAAAAACTTAACTGAAAAAATGGAATGATAATAGAAAATCAGTTTCAAATCAAAAACTTGCATTTATTCATGTTCTGAAAAAGAGGCTAAGGGAACTCAGAAATGAACCAAAACCGGAAATGAACCAAAACCGGAGGCAAGTCAAAATATAAACTTGTTGGAGCTCGAGCTCAGAAAACAATTAAAACATCCACTTACTTAGTTGTTAAATCTTTGTTTATCATTTACTTGAATTTAATCCTTGAATAATAAAAGACGAAAAATTTTGAAAAAAAAAAGCCATTTTAATATTAAAACACCGCTTAAAACTCATTTTAATTTAATTTATATTTATTTGTTACAACAAGAGCCATAATAGGATGGCTCTTGGTTACCACTATGATTTATCTGGTTCTTGAATACTTGCCATTATTTTTATTGTTGCGTTTTACTGGTGTTTAGAGTTACAGTTTATGAACCAAACACTGCAAATAAGAACAAAACATGTATTTTTAAACACCTTTAAATCAAAGAAGGGTTAGGCATGATTATAACTGACAAACAACCGTATTTATCGGCCAAAATCACACGGATGTGCGCCGTCTTTCAAACTTAATAGAAGTTAACTCGTACTTGTTTACAGAACAATACCGAATGGCCTGTTTCGTAATTTTATAGCAGGAAGAACTAGCACTAATTTGGAAATAAGAAATAAACCAATCTACCTTGTTCTAGTATTAACCCTTACCAAAGTAAGCTTTTTCACAATCAGTTGTATTTCTTGTATTTATACAGTCAAAAAATTTTTGTTTCTTACAGTTTTTGGAACTTTTGCAAAGCGCAATTGAGCATTATATGGCTGATTCCATGAAGGTTGCTTTGGGCATTGAGCAATTGAGAACAAGAAAGCTTTTGTTTGGCGGTCACTCAAGCAGTGAGTTCCATATGCCCAAATGGTCAATGACTAGTTGCCAATGTCTAATTGCCAAAGCAACCTTTATTGAATTAGGTATATAAAACTGTTAATCAGTCCTAATAATCAATGATCACGTGAGTTACCTTAACAACGCCATTTTCAGTGTAAGGTTCCCATTGTGAGCCATCTGTACTGAAAGCCAGCGTGTACGACTCCACCCAGCACCTGTCTTTCTTATGTACTTTGACCTTACTAGGGGTTGGGTAACCCTGGGTGGACACCTATGAAGTGACAAGCAAATACAATTCACCATGTTATAAACGAGTGAAAAAGAGGGTACGGTACGCGGCACAAGGATCCCTGGGATCGTTTGGGGGGACAGTATGGAGGCCAACAAACATGGCGAAGTGCTGTGTTCCAAACTGCAATAATAGTTTCAGAAATGTTAGTAATCTTCACTATTGTACTATTCCTAAAGACACCGGTGCACCAGGTATGTCTCCTTCAGTCAGAATAACCTTTAGAACGTTTTTAACAGGTCGCTTGGCGCAGTCCGTCTTTTTTTTTTTGCTGTACCTCCAAACAATCCCTAGAGCCTTTGCGGTCATAAATCGTACCAGTTTCCCGTTATTGTAGGACTTAGCTAATAGCCCACGTTCGATATGTTAGAAATTCTAACATGACTCCGAGGCTTTATAGTCATTTTCCTCTATTTGGTTTGGTTTTCCTTTTGCTTAAAACTCTTCTAGGAATTGCGGGACAATGGGGTCGTGAAAAATTTGCAATTTTGTCGCTAAAGCCTCGGAGTCATGTTGGTATAGGTAATAGCATGATTTGTAGTGATATTTGGCATAAATACCACGAGTGATATTTCAAACTTGTTAAACGTAATTTCACGAGCCGTTAGGCGAGTGAAATTTGAGACAATTTTGAAATATCACGAGTGGTATTTATGCCAAATATCACATACAAATCATGCAATTATTTGCTTATACTGCTATCCGCAAAAGGTTTGTAATTTTAACAAGTAGGTATTTCAAATTAAGCTGAAATACCACTGCTCCAAGCCAATCAAATTGCAGAAATTTCTCATGTAGTAGTGTAAGAATTTTAATATATCAAACGTGGGCTATTAACTTCTGCTTTCTTTATTTCGTTGCCAGGTAATAAGAAACGCGCACTAAAATTTATATGACGATGAGGATGTCTCGAGATAACAACACTGCAATAAGTAAAGGTGATGTAGAAATGAACGCCGCGGTTTTTTACGAGAGTGAGGAGGGAAATACTGTTATTTATAACAGAACCAAAAGTGTGCATGCATACAAATAAAAGTGTGACACGCCAATAAAGAAAGCGTGCTGCAAAGGAACGGGTCCTGCAGACTTTTAGAGACAAAATGAACTCGGAAACTATTATTTCTAAAGTTTTCGGACGAAATTTTAATACAGAGGAACAAGACGGCAGTATGGATTCTAAGTCCCTTAGATCTTTATTCAACAATAAACAACAATAATCTCAACAATAATCCGTTTCCCATAGAAATTATTTTACACTAATTAATTACGGCTAGTAGGGATTCACATGATGAGTTTCTAATGGATTAAAAAGAACAACAGAAAATTAATCATATGATCCATACAAGTCAGATTAGAAACACCAGATAAATTATAACACAAACCTGAGTAACTTTTGTTAGAGCTCCCAGATCGACCTCTAAATATTGTTTCTTGTCACTGACTTTTGGTTTCCAGGCGCCGGCGTTCTTCCCCTGTCTGGTGTTATTCAGCCGCGCCTGGCTAGGGACGTGGTAACGATCTAGCACAGATGACGCTCGCATTGCATTATTGGGTATAACACCATTGCCAACGCCCAATGCCACCGGGACAAACGCGGACATAAATGAAGCTGTGAATTCAAGCAATACGTTGTCGTTAAAAAAGCAAGAACACCAACCTAGAGCCACTAAGGAGGCAGCACGCAAGCAGGTTCTCGTCATTTGTGTTGGGTTTCGTGCCGGATTTTATTAGGGTTTCTGTGCAAGAAGAAAAACTCTTAAGGCTACAAAAGCGGTCGCTTGCGCGAGGTTAAAAAAGGATGGAAAATTATAAAACCGTCAACATAAAAAGTGGTCGCGGTCTTTTCTGAGAGGTGTTTGTTTGCGAGAAGTTCTAATCATAGGGTTTTGACAGGGAAAGTGGTTTAGGGTTTATTCATATCTTAAAGGGAGTGTATTTACAGCAGGATGCAAAGTTCTAAACAAAGTATGTAAAAGGGGGTGCCATTTTTCAATGGAAAGTATGCGAAAGGGGCACCTTTTCTGTCATGCATCTTCACAACTTGAGGCAGAACTTATAATATACTGAAGAAATATCATGGAGCCCGCGGTTCCTTATTTGCTTCCTGATTTGCTTCAAACAAAGGTGATAATGACTATAATTCTGACTGAACCACAAAAGCCTGGAGTCTTTAATTTAGAAATCATTATACCTGTGTAATCTGCATCTCCTATGGAGTTGGTATCAGACCCGTATTCACCAGCCACTGGAGGTACAAGATAGTTCATTTGTTTCTCCTGTTCGTTGTTAGTCCTTTCTTTTTCCTGCTCAGCTTTCAATTTGCTTTCTTTTTCTTCCACTTTTCCTTCATTTTCTTTCTCTTCCACATTTTCCTCTCTCTCCTTCTCTCTCCTTCTTTCTTTATTTTCTTTCCCGTCAACTTTGTCTTCCAATCCTTTACCTTCAAAGTTCTCTGAGTCTTTCGTGATGTCAGCATTGCTTTGCTCATCCAAATGTTTCTGAAGTGTCTCACTCTGTTCGGAAGCTAACGTGCTCGGCTCATCCATCGTATTATTAACCATTTGAGACTTTTGCGTGAGTTCGTTGTTTACACTTTTAGTTGGTTCAGTCGGCGCCACATGCACAAGATCTTCTTCTGCGACAAATTCATTTTTATCTAGTTCTAAATGTTCCTCCTCTAATGAGCCATTTTGATTTGACCCTTTTAAAGCCTTACCTTCTAAATCATTTCCTTCATTATCTTGCAAGGTAACGTTTATATCAGCGCCGACAACATCGTACTCTTTAGAAATGTAACCATTAAGAGCCTGTGTTTCAGTCTCGTTTTTAAGAAACAACGTCTCGCTTTCCTCACCTCCTTCTAGCAACATCATCTCTTTGAGGGATAATTCTTGAGGGGAAAGCCTTTCAGGAATTTCAAGTCTATCTCCTCTACTTCCTTGAGAATCACTATCGCTATCTTCATTTTGTTTACCGCGTTGAGAGCCACCTGGAATGTTTACTAAATGTGGCAGCCTTCTCTCCACATCTGAGCATTGAGATTGTGGACGTGTCTGAACCTCGTAGTACGTGACAATTATTTTAGGAAGTCTAAAACGTTTCTTTCGTAAAATCTCCTCTCTTCTTTTCTCGCTTTCAAAGCGGAGCAATCTTTCACGTTCGATTCTTTCCTCCCTTTTCTTTTTTATCATTTCATCTGGATCAGAGTAACCATCTGTTTACACAAAGGAAGGGAAAAAGAGGTTCACTTTACTTGCTTAAAGTTAACTCTTATTCAAATAACACCTAAAGTCTCCAAAATAAAGTCCCTGAAATATTGCTCCCTGCTTGCCTAGTCCCTAGGCCTCATTTTTCCTCGCGGCCAAAGCGTTTCACGTAGGCCAAGCGAAGATGTGAATTTCAAAAAGCAACGCACGCACGCGCATTCTGTTTTTGTCTAGGCGTTTCCCGCCCGTTCGCCTCGGATACGTCACCGAAGTGAGTTGACCTAGAGTAAAAGGGAAAAACGCCGTGCAGGGTCTAGGTAAACTCCATGCCATCTGTCGTTATCCGGCCGGATGCTTGCAATTTACTCATGCTTGGATCTGCTACAGACTAACATCCAATTCAAACGAGTGATCTAACTGTGGCCTGTGCCGGAGCGTCCAGTGCTCTATATATATCAAGTCGCCCTTTTCTGAGCCACTAATCTATATACAGTGGTTCAGAACCGCGAAATAACGAAGTGCCAAGGTACCGGCAAAATTTGTTCGCTACAACAAGGTTTCGTTATATCGAGGTACTTTTCCATATGTTTTACTATTACTGGGGTAAAGAAAATCGTTCGTTATACCGAGGACTTCGCTATATAGAGGTTCGTTATATCGAGGTTCCACTGTAAACTGAATCTCGAGGGCCTGTCTAGATGAGGCGGCCAAAACGGGCAGTGGCCTGCTTGACCGCGTGCTGGCTCGAATCGCACCTTATTTCCTCATAAATGTTTCTCTGTGTTTATATGAGAAGGCGTTTTGGCCTTCTTGCCCGCCTTCTCGTATAAACAAAACAAAACCGCTATGAGGCTATGAGAAAATAGGGCGAGGACCGACCCAGCTCGCTTCATAATTCAAACAGTCCAAATGGACCCTCTCCCTTTTTCCCTTTCTCGCTTTTCTCGTCCTCCCCTCCCCTTTTTTGCGCCGGTCCCTGCACCTGTACCCAGTGTAACAAAACAATGCCAGCTTCAAAGAAATCAAGAGTTCCTTGATCGCGATTAAGCCCAATAACAATTCCAAAATTACCTCTACTTCTCCTAAAGCTGTTTAACCTAATTTCATGTTCCTGCCCAGCTGCCTTCGCTTTTTCTGTCCACTGTTCCCAAACATCACGAATCTGCTGAACTTTTTCTATAATTCGAAAGTGACGCTGAAATTAAGAAAAAATAATCTGTCTTCATTCTTGGCAATTGCTGGAAAATCGCTTAAACGTTAGTTACATCTACTCTGATTATTCATTATATTGCCCTTTCCTTTCCTTACTTCCAGCACTGGTTAAAATGAAAACAACCCTGTTTGGTTGTAAGAATTGTGTTCCCGCTCTGCGGTGTTTTAAAAACTTAACCATTTATTCATATACTGTACTCTTCTTTCTACTAAATTACCACGGGGCTGAGCATTAAACGCAACCTTAGATGTAAAACGCGTAGTTGCTTCCAAAGACATTACTACAAGTTACTATAACTGTAGACTTTCAAAAAAGTCCTTTTTTCACTTCTTGTTACCGGCATTCACTACGAGAACTTTCTCGCTGTCTAAAATTTCGTTCATTTTCGCGCGCAAATTTTTCACGTTTGGCAATAAGTATTAAAAACACATGCTTCCTTTACTGCGTTGGTTTTCTTTGATTTTGTTAGTTAAAATACTTTGGCTCCAGCTTTATATAAATTAACAAGACACAAACCTCCTGCTTCTTCAACTCCTCTTCGCTTTTGAACCTTTGCTTTTGGCGTCGAAGGGCTGATAATGTCCGTTCATGGGAACATCTTGGAACGTGCGGACAGGGGTCCTTTTTCAAAAAAAAAAAAAGGCATGGAAAACGCAAATTATTACTATTACACATAAAGGAAACAGTTCTCGGAAGGACATATGGGGACTATACAAAGGATTATCTTTGTTGGTCTGAGGAACGAAGCTTTCATGAAGAGAAGGACACATTACAGATATTGTTCGCACCATGTTCCACTCAATGTAACATTAAGCTAACATTACAAGTACAGAAAATGAGTACCAATATAAAATCGACTTATATATGCATTATTTTCTAGTCTTTTTCGTGTTTGTAGATGTCGTGGTTCAGTTAAAGTCCTTCAGATCCTGTTTCAAGTTCTATTTACATCTACACGTAAATTTAGTTTTCGGATACAGAAATAATGACCTGAGTTTGAAACAAAGGAAAATAAATTCTGAACCCGAGGATAAAATTTCATTACCAAGAACATGTCGCTAGTACGACGTAGAAGCCCAACATTTCTTGTGAAGGTCTCATAGTTGTTACACTTCTGCAAGTAGAAATTACATTACATTTATAGATCAGGTTTTACTGGGTACTACATATACGCTCCACATAAAAAGAAAGAATTAGTTATTGGCATATGAAACCTTTCTCTTTAATTTCTGATAACTGTTTAGGTGAGAAACATATTTTAAGCATTTTTGCCCTAAGTTGAATGTACAGTGCAAACATGAGGTAATGACTTGAACAAAACATCTTCTTTCACTAATATAATAGCAGATAAAATGTGTAAAATATAGCTTACAGTTCAGCGTTTAAAAAAAGCATGAAAAAAAGCTTGGTAACGCAATACTTTAGCCCCCAATGTCCCCCTCAGTTGGTCATAACAGTATTACAGCTCTACCCATCTTTTCCATAATAATTATGCTCCTACCTAACATGCCCCACAGATGAAACTTAATTGCTGGGTTAAGTTCCTCTGCAAAACAGCACCAAAAATTAAAATCCCTGTTCTGGCCCCCCACCTAAGTACCAGGATTTGAGTACGAGCCATGATTGGCCTAATAAAATAGCCATTGTTGATTTTCTAATCAGGTTGAAGAAAAATTTGAAATGTACTTCTGGTAATTTGTTGAGTCCGTAGCGGGGCCAGAACAAAGATATTGGTGCTAGTTTTACAGACGTTACTCACTGGGTTACGTCACATCAGGGTGTGGAAGGGTATTTTTTGGGATCCGGGATTTGACTAAAATAGTCTGCGGGATTCGGGAAAACACAAAATATCTTAATGGGAAATGGGATCTGACTGCTACCCGAAAAGCAGGATTCACAAAAATTTGGGCACAGTATGCGGGAAATTTTTTTGCCTGTCAGTCAGGAATTCGAGAAATCGTATATTTTAGTGGCAACTGTGAATCAAGTTCGGTGGTGTCCCTTGTCCTATCTTGTCTCCCTCTTCATTTCTTGTGCTCTTTTCCTTCCACTTTGTCATACTAAGATATGAGAGGCTATATCACTTCTGCAAATGGCCTTAAAACACGCATAAATTCAGAATATCAATTGAAGGGACCAATCTGCTTCTTACATTTATTGGCTTTTGCAGCAATTAGTCTTTTTTAACTTAAAAATTTTGGAAACAAAAAACGGGATTTGGGAAAGTGATGAAAAAAGTGCGGAATGCAGGATTATCCTGGAAAAGGAGCAGGAATGTTGGATTAGGGCCCCCATCCCTTCTAGACCCTGTTACATCTATGGTGCAGGCTAGCTCCTACCTTTCTGTTTGTCAACCAAACTCCCAGGGGCTCAACCCATACAGGAAGACAGGATTGATTCTGGGTTCTTAGAGATGGTTTTAGAACTTTGCTTGGAGATGGTGTGGGTAGAGGAGTACGAAATTGTGAGGTTTGATTATCTCCAAAATAGATGCTGCTGTGTTCTTCAAACTGAAAAGTATTGTCACGTGAATATACCTAAGAAAGAAAAAACAAAAGGCATTAGAGTAAAATCAAATGAAGTTAAATGTAATTGAAAAATTTTGAGGTTGAATCAGATGCAGAATTTAATGTTGACAACTTATTAACATAATTTAAATAAAATAATATATTTCATCAATTTCATCAACTGTCACTCAGCTTGAACCTCTTCATTGGTGCTGATAGCATTTCAAATCTATCACCGGGACAACCCTTTATGAAGTAAATTTGGTGTTCATTCAGACATTAAACCTCACACAACTTACTATCACCAAAGGCTTGATTGTAGGTTAAGCTGAATAATGGTGGGTAAAGTCCTTATGAGACTGCAAATTAGGCAAGGAGAGAAGGGATGGGGATTATTAGTATTTATGGGAGTAAAAAAGCCTTCAATAGCAAAATCTTAATGATAATTAAAATTACTTTAAATAGCTCTTATTTCACTGTCTGTTTTTAGAATGGGTCAAATAAAACTTGATTAGCCATGCCCAGATTGGTGTTATTTGAGGGTTTAATAATATCCAATTTTCTGAGAAGCATCCCTGAACTGCCCCCCTCTCAATGGGAATGGCAGTCTCTTTAATTCATTAGCATGCAACACCCTTCCCAGCTGTGTTTCAGTGGTTGTGAACCAAGAAAAGGCATCTACTCTTGCGGGCTATCACACTTAATCTAAACCATCAGGGACTCAAACAGTAAATAGTTAAGTTACCCTGGGGTGTGATCATCTCTCTAGAAGCTAGTCCTTTCACATAATGCTAAACATCAGGCTTTCATGTACCGGTAATTAAGAAAGGGACTTAAAATTTCAATCATCATTTCTAGAAATTTGTTGCCTTATAATTGAGTTGGTAAATTACTTTTTGCATGTTTTCTCATACACTAATCGTATGATGCAATTTTTACTTTTCTTAGTAACAAAAACTATTACAAGAATTTTCTAGAAATCTTCAGTAAAGAGAATTTTTAACACAGTGTTTTACTAACAAAGTTGTGATCAAGTGGGGATAAAATATATTCTTTTGTAAAGAAAAATCTCAGCTATTTATTCATAAGAATCCTGCTGGTGGATCAGGTAGGTGTTCTACGTAAATGTTATGAGGTTGTCATGCTAACATTCCCATGTTTTAAAATAGCCACCAAATGTCTATTATAAGTCATCTAAAAATATATGAGGATGATTATCTGTTGGAAATACTAATTAACTTTTGCGATGAAACGTATGAATCTTTACCAAATTATTTTTATAATTAGCAGATACAGGAATATTGATATGTACCAGACAAATAATAACTTAAGTACATGTAAAAAAAAGACTAGACGTTGCACACATGTATCAGCTTGTAATATCAAAATAAAGACAGACACCTTTAATTTGGGAATTGCCATGAATTGCACTAAGGATGTCTGTCTTATAGAGAGTCAAATAAAGGGAGTAAAGAAAGGCGGGGACTAACTCTAGATGTCAATTTTACTGAGGTGTCTGTCTTATAGGGGTGCCTGTTAAGAGAGAGTCAACTGTATAACAGAACTATTGGTTTGAGTAATGACTTCTTGTGGCATTTACAAATGAAAATAATATTGCAGAAATGGAACTGATAATAAGATAATATAAATAAATACATTTGTATGCGCTTTTTGTAATATGATGTCTATAATATCCTAATCAATCTCCAGAAACACAGAATAAGGAACTTCAAAAAAGACTGTCCTATAATATAGACATCTATATATAGGGTTCTAAATTCAAAAAGAACTTCGCAGTTGTCTAAACCTAAGACTGGTTGGCTAGCAGTACGCACCTCAAACCGACTGAACCGACACCAATCCCGACACAGACAACAAATTCACAAGAAAATTGCGCGCATACAATGTATGTTGACTAGCAAAACGCCAACATAAAGCTTCAACTACGATTTAAATAGATCAAGAACCTGTTGGAAATGCAATATAATTCATTACCAGTCAATCAAAGATCCATGCTAAATTGTTGCTAATTACTTTTATTCGCTATCGTGCTGTTGACAAACACTTCACTCACTCACCGATCTGTTGACATTTTTCCCACTTCTTGTTTGCTCGTCGCTACTCTGTGCTGTTTTCGGCAAAGCTTCGTGCAAACTTAACCTATAGTTCTTCTTTTCTGGAGAAACAGGGCTCTCAGTTTCTCTGAGCTGAAGATAAGGAAGTGCCTGCATTTTGCCGCACAATGTAATCGCCGATCAAAGTCATATTTAACATTTTGTTTAATTTGCATGTCTAGTTCAACGCTGTCGGTTGCTAGTGTGCATTTCAGGCGCGGTTACCTAATGGAATGCGGTGTTCATGTCAGAGAAAATATGTTCAGAATTTCATGATATTTAAATATGGAAATTGATACTTCCTTTGGGTCAACTGCGGCAATATTTGGTTGTTTGTTGCTGCTAAAAATGTCGCGTGAGGTAAAATGCGGCGGAGAGACGACGTAATCGTTTTCTTACCATGAGCTAGCAGCGGGTGTTTTGATGTGTGCGGGCGGGAAAAGACGACAAGTCAATATTTGTTTCTAATATTACGACGAATCTGAAAAGTCATGTTGAACTCAGCGGCATCAGCTCTTGTTAACATAGACCCAGCTGGGACAACCAGAGATGAAACAATTGGCCGAAATTTAGCAAGTGAGTACAGCAATATTCACGGAAAATCTGAAAGTGTAAGAGAGCAACTTCAGTCTTTGAATATGGTCAACAGAGAGGACACGAACGACTGGGTAAAAATGGACAGTCAATCTAAGACGAAAGAAGATGGATCTGCTAAGCGTTCTCAACCTGTAGGAAATGTCACACAACGGAAGGAGACAAGTCCAGGAACAGAGAAGAACAAGAGAATTCTTCCGATGACGCCAGGAACTACAAGTACAGCAAGTAGTACTGCGATGACCCCCAAGTCACTCTATTCAACGCCAAGCCAGTCGGCCCCCTCGACAGTATCTTCGTCTGAAAAAACAATCTCAAAGCGCTCAAGTACTTCTTCCTTGAGCAGCGCTAGTAACACATCGTCTGTATCATCCGAGGGGCCCGAAGACGAACTTCGCTTAACTGACACGAAGCAAACTCACATAGTTGTGTACAAGTTCGTTGCAAGACATGATGATGAAATTAATTTAGAAATTGGCGATGCGGTTCATGTGGACAAGAAGTGCGAAGATTTGTGGTTTGAAGGGATTAACCTACGAACTGGCAAGGCTGGGATATTTCCCTCACGTTATGTTTCTGATATTCTACAGCAGACTTCTATTCAAGGCAAGCATTGATTTCTCTTCAGTCACAGTGTTTCCGACTTTAAATCCTCTTATTTCACCCTTTTGTTTTTGTTCAGTTATTTAACAAAGTTGTTCCGTAGGGGGCGGGGGGGGGGGGGGAGGCATGGGTATTGGGGGGATAGGGAAGTGAAAATAATAGAAAATAAACGAAGACAGGAGAATATCGCCACAAAATACGTGTACATCCAGGAGGGTTGACCCCTAACACCGAGGTCGGTTTGTTTTTTCCTCTTTTTTTTTTTTTCTATTTTATTTCATCAGCTTTTTATTTTAAGGAAGTTTTTTTTTTTTTTTCTCTCTTGTTTTTTTTATTTTAATTCTTTTTTTTTTTTCTTTTTTTTTTTTTTTTATTTTTGAAGGGAGGGGTGGGGGGGGGGGGGGGGGGGGGGGGGTGTGGTTGGGTAGTTGGGAGAGGAGGTAGGTAACAATCATGAAAACACAAACAATAAGTGCAAATTTCACCACAAAAATGGCCTTCCTTCTCTTCTGCTTGGGTTTTCATTGTGAGCTCATTGTGTGATGTGAAAAGAAAATATAGTGCAACCCGCATAAGCACAAGGTGATCAATAGAGAGGAGAAGTTGGTACATCACATTGCAGCACATTTTCTGGATTACAACCAACTTTAAAGCCGTAAATGTGGTTGCCATGCCGATCAGTGATGAGCCGAAATAAATTAACTGGGGAGAGAACTGCGACAATTCTAAACATGCATTTGAATACGTCTAATGGGGAGTCAAATATGTCACTGTGGCAATGACAATGAGAATGTCAAAAAAGCAATAGGTTAAGATCAGCAAAACAACAGCTTTACATGTGCAGCACACTTTTTGTACATTTCTTTGCCATCACTGCACGACTACGACGTTAATTGCCTAATTTCATGTTTTATCGTCCATGTGTACATGCGACAGCAAATTTCTCTTTCTTCCCCTACAGTATTTAATAGACAAAGTGAGAGAGTTAAAATAATCACGCTGAAGTTTCAAAGAACGTGAAGTGGCTTTTTGGGTGACATTTTTGCTGCTGTGGCCCTCGTGGTATTTTTTGTTGAGATCCAGAAATTTTGCCACCATGGTAACATGATGTCACACTTCTCCTCACTATTTTGCCCGGGCCAATAAAAACATTGGTTCCAGCTTCACTCATGTGAAGGTGCCTTTCCACAATTTTGATACAAAACAAATTCAAGTTTTAAGAATAAATTTTTGCTCAAAAGTTTTATTAAACCAAAAAATTTAAGAGGTCCTACAAACAGTAGAGAACTAGGGTTTCAAAAGTGACCACTTAACCGTTTAAGCCCTAAGAGTGATCAGCATCAAATTCTCCTTGTAATACCAATGCTTTGTTAAGCAGGGTGGTCATGAGAATTACAGATGTGATCACACAAAATAAATTTTCTTGATATTTTATCAACTTCTCCCAACTACTTCTGAAGGAAATAAATAGGGGCAAGAAATGAGAATTCAAATTTTGATCTTAGGGTTTCAAGGGTTAATGGGCATATAAAACTACAAATATGCATATACAGTTGGTACTGATGAAAATAGTTGTCGGAGAAAATCTTTTATTTGTAAACCTTTTCATCCTAATAACAGGGTGTTCATTAGGCATCCTTGATCAAAGAATTTTCTGTTTACTTATATATGCATAATTCTCAGGCAAGTGTCCGGTAACCTTTGACTATTTTACATTTAGACATGGAGGCTCTTACAAAATCTTCTCCTCTAACATTACACCTTTCTCCTGCTACTCGAATTCTTAATAAAAACCCTGCAACAATAATAATAGTAATTCCAGGTAATTTTTAATAATTGCCGACCTAGGGCAGTCCCCTGTGCATTTTTAGATCAAAATTGAGACTGTCAGGTCTATTAGACACCATGACATTTCAATTTGGCTGGAGAATGGGATCTCCCTCTTACCTGGCAGTCGATTCTCCAGTGCTTTATGGCACAGAATCCAGATTGATATCTAGCATTATCCAGTGTGCTTTATGAATGCCCTGTCTATTATGCCACAGTTAATATTTGGTCAGTTAACGATTTGTTCCATGTGCATCTCTTTTTAAATATAGATAATTCAAATGGAGCACAAGTAAACCAGTTCAGTGTCAGGTAAAAGACATGATAACATATTTAAGAATAAAATAATTACATTAATCAGCTGTTTCGTGTGGCCAATCAGTCATATCATTTTTATAATATCTGGATATTCCATTATGAAGGTGATCCTTACCACTGATATTGGTCATTAAAAGTTTTTTTAGGCAAGAGGAGTTCATTGTTTAGTTAAATGGGACAAGAAAGAAAAATTATTTTGCAAAAACAATTACGTAACAGTGTATCATACACAGCAACACATGTACAAGAATTTACAGGTAGAGATGACATGATTAGTGGATAAGCAGCATGCAGAGAAAGTCATGTCCGATAGCCAGGGGCTAGTGGATTTTGCTATCGGGCTTGTGATTTTTGCTCTTAACTTGCCCGATGGGCAAGTGCTGTTTTTTTGGGAAATACAAATTACAGAAGGATTGTAATCAATCCTGCTAATCATAAAGGGTTTTGGGGCCAGTTGAAGTGACTTGTGGGCTAGTACATGCCAGCTACAGCTTGCCCAAATGGCAGGCTGTAAAACTGACTTTCTTTGCACCTTGATAAGTGAAATTAGTTTAAGCTCAATAATTATAGCTTTTATCTCCATGTTATTGTAGGTTTCTTGGGTCGGTGGAGGTGAATGGATTTAAGGGAAATGAAATCATATGTGATGCTATGAGACAGGTACTTGATTTTTGTAATCTTTTAAAAAAAATTTTTATTTTTTTTTATTTTTCCCAATGGTATGAGGAAATACCTTTTCTCTCCTACAACTTTTTCGGAAGGAATTTTGTACCGAAAGTCGATGATACAAGGGAACATGAAAAAGACACTCTCTCTTTGTGTTTCTAGCAATGTTTTGCCTTTGCCTGCACTCCACTATCTGAATGCGTAGAACAGGCTATCAGGAAGAAGAAACTATGTGTTAATAAATTGTAAATTAACGGTACCAATCTTAATTTAAATATTAGCATTGCTGACCAAATTTGCTTATAACCTTGCTTTTTATAGATTGTGAAGCAGCATCAACTGACTTCAACAGCCAGACCACCTGCTTGTATACTAGATGTAACTGAAAGAGGAATTAGGATCACTGAACACCCTGTGGCAGGGCAGAGAAGGGTAATGGAATCAAGCATGACTGTATAGATTCTTAGTATTAGACATTCTTCTCCTTCTGTCCTCAAATGTTTCTTATGGGTGGAGTGAGAAGAATTTGTTCAAAAATTCAGAGACTTTAAAATCTCTGGTGCACTTGTCTTTATTTCTTCCCCTCCCAAATTATGTGGCCAAACCCAAATTTTGACAAAATTTCCAAATATCATTTTGTAAAATGCTTAACAGTGAAAGTTCCACCAAAGATGTTTCATTTGAGAGTCGTACAGGGTGGCCCTCTGGCACAGTTCACAGACCATAAAACAACTAATCACTAATCACAGATAACAAACTTTCATTTCAGTTTTTGAGTCACATAATCAGCAAAGTAATGTTTTTTTATTTTACTCTAATTAGGTAAAGCAAAAAGTGGCAAAAGAGTGTCTGAAAAAACAACTTGAAAGTGGCAAAAAGGAAAAGCAAGACTGCAAATAGCAACTTACAAGAATTCATCATTCTCATTTGTTGCTTTATTTATCTTCCGGAAGTCTCAAAACTGAAAATCAGGGAAAAATAAGTAATAAAAGTTTTTCTCGGGGCTCAGACAACCTTTTGGTCAAGGGTTCAAAAAGAATAATTATTGAATTCACAATTCGCAAAAAATAAAATCAAGTAATTACGTATCACGAAAATACACCTGTACAGATGTACGACCCAGCTCTAATTTGAGTGGCCGCACCATAGGATTTTGACAACAGAGTCCAACGTTAGAACTACATAACAACCCTCCATCATTCACTCCGGGAATGAAAAGGTTAATTATCAGGATTAATTTTTAATATTATTTTTATCAATAATTTCTTATTAATACAGTCGAACCTCTCCACAGCAGCCCAAAAAATTCCCATTCATGAACGCTTCACTTTTGACCAACAGCTAAATCTATAATTTTATAAGCTGAGTTTTGCCATGCGGCAGCTCAATATATGCAACATGCATTTAGCTTTGGATTAGGATGGAGTTTATCCTTCTTGTCAATTATTGTTTCAGGATTCAGCATCCAGCAAAAAATCAAGAAAAGGCAAATTAGGAAAAATATTTGAGAAAGAGTCAAAGGTTTGTAATTAATTACTTCACATAACCGGGACATTTTTTATTTAGTTATGGCCACGCACCCTCTAATTAAATGTTTTCATTTGCCTTAGTTTTAATTGGCTGGTTCTTCAGGCATGTAACTGGGTTGTCTCTGGGACTTCAAAATAGAATGCCTGGGATTTCTTAGTCTTCATTTCCCATCATTTTTAAGGTAGCAAGTCTTGAACAAAGATTTTTCTGCATTTTCTTTTTTCTTTCCATCAGTTCATCCTTATTTTTCCCCGTTTAGCGTTGTCCGACTTACCCAAATTTTTCGCATTTTTCAAATTTTTTTTCTTTTCATCTGACCGACCGATCCCAACTAAAAAAGGGAGGGTGGCCTATGGTGGGAGGCGATAGGGACGACTCAATTTCACAAAAATGTGGGGGATTTCTCGTGATAATGCTTCTCAGCTTCGCCGGCTGCTCCCAATTCTAACTCGGTAACTCCATACGTACTTAACTATGTATTGATAGTATACCCCTTAATTGCCCACTACGTCTTTCATTCATTCTAGGAACCACCAAAATCACACTACTTTGCGCTGAAGAATGTTACGTTTTGTGGTTGTCATCCCCATAATGCAAGGTAATCAGTTTTAAACATTTTTAACGTAGAAGCGTCTAATCTAAACAGGTCAAACAGCTTTTGTCAGCACGTCTTTTAAGACAGACTAAACGAGATAGTATGATGCACAAGAGTTTCTTCCAGAAGCTAAAGGGTGATGACGTTTATTAGAACAAAATATTTAGTTTTAAAACTACCGCAATAAAAAAGCCTGCATCAGCATGACCTCAGTTGAGCACTTTTGTTTGCTTGGTTACTGAAATTTTCCTTTGTTCCGCTTGCAATTTCCCACAAGCCTGCTAGAAAGCTTTCCTTTTCGAGTGGTGAGCGAAGCAAGCCTGATGGGGAACACGCCAGTGAGCGGCGTGGCTTTCGCGTGCCGCTCACGCGTGACTTCTCGCGACTACCCCAAAATGGGATCGAGATTGTCAACGGGCTAATGTGCCTCCTTTTCATCGATTTTTACAATCTTTTTCGGATGTTTCCAGATTTTTTGCTTTTATTACAAAACATCCCGAGGATCACCGATTTGCATGTCACGTGTTCATGTCGGAGTTCTCCACTGAGCCAGTCGCTAGTGCTATTGGGTAAGTGAATATTCTCAATACTTAATAACGAAACTTTGCCAATATTTCTGCACGGTGTGAAGTCACCTGCTAATTCACCCCAGTAACTGTGGTAACATAACTACCAAATCGTGGTTTCAAATGATGTGTCAAAGAACGATGTCCATCATTTAAAAGGAAATTGAAAATTAGGGCAATTGAGTCGCTTAATTGATACATAGTTAATTGAGTGGAATGGTTATGAAACCCGTCAGACTCCTTTGTTATATGTTTTTGTGGACCTGAAAGTGCACAACGTTCAAAAGAATTCCTATCAATTTGATATCCGTAACAATTTGCCAACAGAAAACAAAGGATTGTGCACTTTCCGGGTGCTTCCAACATAAACTGCAGCACTGTTGTTTTTATCATTGATGTTTGCCGCTTTTCATAACCAGTCTCCTCTAATAACTATGATTGATAATGGCGATAATGCAGTGATTATGGTACTGAAGATCATGACTATGATGGCAATTTTGATGATGATGATGATGATTATGATGATGACCATGATTATCATCATGAGTTAAAGTATTAATACTAGTAACTGTCTAGGCTACGAATCAGAAGGTCAAATTACTTGAAACCAAGGTTTGGTCACTGGTGCATCGCTTTTCTACCGATGCAATGCATTTATCTTTTAGAAACTAATTACCTCGTTTTGGGTTCTTATTGATTTCTTATTGTATTATTCATCCTGTTGTGTCATAGGCGCGCTTTCAAGAAGTTTTACGCTGATTTTCTCGACTATCAAGCTCCTGTAGAAGACTTCTACATTGAATGACAACTCGTCTTACTTGTAATAACATAGCTAGATAGCTGACTAGATAGAGAAACTTAAATTGAAGTGGAAAGTAATATTTGGGATTCTTAATTTTGCATTTCTATCCTCTCTGATTGACTGAAACTTGTCGTCTTTATCTTGACCAATCATGCAGAAGTTAAACAGATACCAATTGCGGCTTGCCATTCTTCGATCCGGCTGCAGGTTTCGGTTTTTTTTTTATTATTCAAGACGTTTATTACTATAATTACAAAGAACTAATTAAAAAGAAACTAATTACAATGTTCTAAACAACCGCAATAACAGACATACTTACAATTATCTACATTTCACAATTATATACATTACAGCCACAAAACAGCCGCGCAATTGTTGAATGAGGCTTATTTTACAAAGAATTAATTAATACTTAATTATGTAGATAAAAGAGAGATTAACACTTAATATTTACAGTACACTCTGAAATAAAACAAAAACACAAACACACATACAAAAAAACAAAACAATACAAAAAAAAGTGTCTATAAATAACTGTCTAACTCCTGATTGGTTCACTACAAAGTATGTGTCTGTTTTGATTCGCCAGAGTGAGCGTCGGCTTTGTTTAAAAGTTATCAAGGGAAAACATTTTATTATACAAACACCAATGAAATACCAGGTGAACTTTCGCGCGAAAACATGATACCTTCACACGTGAAGCGCCGAGAGAAAAAAATAACGTCTCGGGAGCCTTATCAAACCGTAAGCACGGTTTATTTCATATTAGGTATTTTGGGAACGGACATCTGGAACCAGGGTAATATTTTCCTAGTTGTGTGGTATGTTTTCGAGCCCGTAGGAGGGAGGAAAAATGCCAGTAAAGAGTATAATATCTGCGCATATTAACTACCAAAACATCCAATGAGAGAAATTAAAACGCAACATACTTTGTTCATCCAGGCCCGCCGTTGTTTGCCTCGTCTCTCTTGGTGAAAAACCTGTCAAACAGGGATTTTGCTCTCCACTACAGGATTTCGTTGTATAATAATGTGGAGTATTTTGCGTTTTCCTCCTTTCCTTATGTGGCCAAATGACTCAACAGTAGGTTGATAAATACCTCAATCGCTGCCTTTATTTGTATAAATCAGGCAATCAAAATATGGATAGGAAAGAATTTCAAAGATACAGAAATGTTATTTCTTCCAAAAGCGGGAACAATCCGCGTTATGATGAATGTGTATTTTTCTAAAACAATAATGAATGTCAAGAGAGGATCCTCTTTTGTGAAGATATACTTTATAAAAAAATAAACGGCAATAACATACACTATGAATAATTCATGAATGATTTTTTAAAATAGCTTAGTAACAGCAAAGCTTTTCTGTGTTGCCAGCCATTTGCCGGCGATCTTAGTTTAAATTATTTCGAAATATTTATCTGGAACCAGGGTAATATTTTCCTAGTTGTGTGGTATGTTTTCGAGCCCGTAGGAGGGAGGAAAAATGCCAGTAAAGAGTATAATATCTGCGCATATTAACTACCAAAACATTCAATGAGAGAAATATAATTCCACTTCATTAAAACACAACATACTTTGTTCATCCAGGCCCGCCGTTGTTTGCCTCGTCTCTCTTGGGGAAAAACCTGTCAAACAGGGATTTTGCTCTCCACTACAGGTCAGATAGAGGATTTCGTTGTATAATACTGTGGAGTATTTTGCGTTTTCCTCCTTTCCTTATGTGGCCAAATGACTCAACAGTAGGTTGATAAATACCTTAATCGCTGCCTTTATTTGTATAAATCAGGCAATCAAAATATGGATGGGAAAGAATTTCAAAGATACAGAAATGTTATTTCTTTTCAAAAGCGGGAACAATCCGCGTTATGATGAATGTGTATTTTTGTAAAACAATGATGAATGTCAAGAGAGGATCCTCTTTTGTGAAGATATACTTTATAAAAAAATAAACAGCAATAACATACACTATGAATAATTCATGAATGATTTTTTAAAATAGCTTAGTAACAGCAAAGCTTTTCTGTGTTGCCAGCCATTTGCCGGCGATCTTAGTTTAAATTATTTCGAAATATTTAGCACATTAAATTAATTTTGCTATTTGTAGTATTCGATGCTTGTGGTACTAAGGATGAAAAAAACTAGACAACTTTGTTCCTATGTATTACTAATTTTGCTCGTTTTGCAACGCTTTTTCTTTTGAATGAATGGTGTTTTGTAACCTGTTATTTTCCGATAGGTGGAGCTTGATGTTCGAAACCCCGATTAGACTTATCGTTCATTTGGCGGAATTTCGAAATCAGAGATGTGAAAAGTTCCTAGTCCAGGGTAAAAAACACCCGTTGTTCAAGCACCGATTAGTGTTTCGATTACTTTACTCCGAAAGGACGATTGCAGCTTTAAATCTCTCCAGGAAAATATATAGAGAACATGGAGATCATGCAACGTAAGCTCACAAAAAATTTAATCGCTGATTAATCTTTGATTAGCGCTGGGTTTAGAACAACAATAAAACAAGAGATATATGCATAATTCATCTAAAGAACTCCACCAACGTGATTGATCTGGTTTCGGCTCCTGGTATGTAAGAGTATCATGTGACACACAAATAACTTACACGTTGATATGTCGTATACTCACTATCTGTCTTCTTATTGGCTAAGATCCTGCAGGTGATTTTGAAAATCTGCTAGCAGAGGTAGACCTGAGCGCGCAATGCATGATTTCCAGGAACAATTCAATTTCAACTGTGTCCCGTGCGACGGTGTGTTTGTCGTTATTTTCTTCAAAACAATAGAGGTTAAGTATCACGTTTACGTCAAACGGCAAGCACGAATTTCTACCACGTGACCAAGTTTCCTCGTTACTTGTCGTTTGCTGTTTATTATTTCTACAACTAAATTTTGATATATATACTTTATACTCGTTTTGCTATCTCCGCCCGCAAATAGCAAGAGCTAGAGGAGGCGGGCGGAGAGGAAAGGCTACAGCAGTCATAAATATTAAATCAAAAGAAGCTGGGACGATTATATTGCAAAGTAAACTAAATAAACTATGTGGATAAATAAGAATTACAGAAAAACAAGCTAGAGTTACAAAATAGTGTTACAGAATGGAATTACAAGACAAATTTACTAGTAAAAGAACCTATCAATTATCAGTGTATTGAGTCGTGGCTGCAGAATTTGCGATTTTTTGTAGCAGAATGGGCACTTTAACATAATCATCCACTGCTCCCATTATCGAGAGCAATAAGTCAGTAGTTTCACGCAATTTTTCATCCGTAAAAATTGTTTTGAGCCGTTTTTAACTGCTCGTTTTCTATATTGAGAAATTCTCAACTTGAATCTGACGTTTGCCGCATACGTGAAGCTTCAAAAAACTCTCTAATTCACGTTAAATCGTAGGCTCAGTCAGTATACAGCCATGGGTGTCTCGATGCGCCCGCGGTACTCTCCACCCCGACTAGCGGAACTGCCACCAGTAGTGAAGTCAAACTTCAAGTCTTATTACACTGAATTGTTTTGTTTTTTTTTGTTTAATTCCATGACATTAGGCCACCATTGCGGAAGCAAGTAAAGATTAGCCCCGTCGTCCTCTCACTTGGAAGTTCGCTCTCCTCTCATCTTTGGCTCGCCACCAACCTATCTCAGTTTCATCATCTCGGGTGGCGATAGAGCAAATACGCCTGCTCTGGAGGCTATAGTTTCAACGATCTGGATTTGTTCAATTCAGTTGAAATAAACACACATATTATTTTAATACAGCTTGGTTCTCTTTCATCACCTTTCTTGCTTTGATTCATTATTTTTGGCCTTTTGTTTCTTGACTTTCTTCGTTTCGAGGAGTGTCACCACAGGTAGCCCAAACTCACTATGAGAGCCCTGAACAACATTATCCTTCTTAGTTAATTAATTATTCATACACAAAGAAAATTATGAGACGTTGTATGGAGAAATATTCTTTGCTCACTAAGAGAAGAGAAACCTTCTCTTCTCTCTACTGTCATCTGGGTGAAAAACTGTAGCTCCAAAAAAGGCCTTAAACAGTGCCTAGGAGGTCTGAAATGCAGTCAGAATACAAAGAAAAACAAGAAGACGCTAAAGGTAAGCTTCAAAGCGATATTCAATGTACATTTTGCTAATTTAGTGAGCAAAGAATATTTCTCCATACCACGTCTTATAATTTTCTTGGTGTATGAATAATTAATTAGCTAAGTAGGATAATGTTGTTCAGGGCTCTCATAGTGAGCTTGGGCTACCTGTGGTGTCACACAAGACGTTCGTTTATGACTGAAGGCCTTAAGATGGCGTGACCACTAAAAAACGTCCTTGGGTATTGAGACCAGGACGCGTGTAACCAAATGTTGTATGAAACAATCAGTTCTCTGTAGCTTTAATTCTTCACTCCATTAAAGTATATTTCTTCACATGTTCATGTTTTAGAATTCTGTACTCTGTTCTACACTTAAAGGATTCATCGACATCAATTCGCGTAAAAATTCGATGATCTACACTCAATCCACACAGTTGATCAGCTCCACGACTCCGAACGACTACACAGTTCTAAGACTCTCGTGCAAAGCTCAGTTTTCAGATCAGGTGACGAGTTTTCCCGCCACAATGACGCAATAATTTCTAACAACGCGTCCGAAATATTCTTTTG